CTGGGATGGAAATCATGACTCCATCATACAGCAGTTAGTATATTATTACAATAATACATGGCATAGAACAATAAAACATGAAACCAGTGGAAATGAAAAATGATATTTCAAAAGAATGGGAATATATTAGAAAGCAAATGGAAAGGTTGAATGATGTTAAACGTGAACAAATTAATTCGGGGCTCATGAATTTTAAACAAGGGGATAAAGTTTTGATTCATCTCGATTATGGAAAAACTGATAAATCAATGACAAAAAGAAGACGAAGATTTGACACAATAGCTGAATTTGTTAGATATATTAACGGCAATGCATTAGTTGAAGTTGACAATAAATTAATAGAAATTCCGATTTATTTTATTACTCCATTATATTTAAATAATATTTAATTTTTTTTTATTTCGTAAGAAATGAGTGACAACGAAGCAGCCAAGAGTCCAGACAATGAATATAAAAAGAAACTAAACAGAATTAAATCAAAAATATGCTATTACAAAAAGAAGCCGCAATGCGGTGGGGCTGAAAACGATAAAGAGAGGAAAGAAATAATCGAAAAATTAGAAACTTACCGTTCAATCCTTAAACTGAGTGAAGCAAAAATAAAAGAATTTAATAGAATAAATAAATTGATTGGAAGAGATGAATTTAATAAAGATGAATTTTTAAACTCTATCCAAATTTAATTTTTATTCCTCTTCGACAACGTCTCGAATAACTGAAGGTGTCACTATGTCACCATGTCACCAGGTTATTTAACTTCTCTTAAAAATGATGACAACATGACATTTTGACAACACAGCGGGACGAAAGGAGGAAGGCATTTATGAATTATTTTTGAATAACTGAAGGTGTCACTATGTCACCATGTCACCAGGTTAATTAACTTCTTTAAAAAAGTGTGACAACATGACATTTTGACAACATTTACGAAAATTAATGGTTACGTTAAATGACCCAAAAATAATGTTTACGTTAATGGTTTTTAGGTTATTCAATAATTAATTATTTTTGAAGAACTGAAGGCGTCACCACGTCACCATGTCACCAGGTTAATTAACTTCTTTAAAAAAGTGTGACAACATGACATTTTGACAACACAGCAGGATTAATGCAAAAATAAATTCCAATCATACTTTATAAAGCTTCATTTACAGGTATTTCATCGTCAGTAAATGAATCCTCATTATCGTTTGGTTCAACCTGTTTATATAATCCTTTCATTTCTTCTTTCAAAACATAACACCATGTTTGTTTATCGTCTATTCTTCTCTGTTTCCTATCACATTTATCCTTAATGCTCATTTGGAAATTCTTGTCTTTCATGTCTGATGGTTTGCAGAATAGAGCATTTTTACACGTCATACCTGTACACAATTCATCATAATGTGTATTTATCCATACATCTAAAGGATTTGTTGATAACTCAATTAAATCTTGTTTGGCTTCAGTCATCGGTATGATTCGTACATTAAATGATGAAAGGTCATATTGCATAAAATACGTCAGTAAATTATCATAAAATTCCTTTGTGCATGAATTCATCAAATTCTTGAAGTAATCAAATTGACCCTTAAATTTACCATTAACCCTTAAAACTACGTATCTTCTGTCTCCAACTTCAATTTTGACAGGGTAGACGTTATTAGTTACCAAAATGAAGTTTGCAACGTTCTGTGCTGTCCTTCTGGGTTGATTCTTTTCATTAATTCTTATCTCATTATCCGTAATAATTGATTTCAAAGCGTTGAAGTTTGCGAGTCTGTCTTCACCTACATTCTTGAGTTCATTAAGTACAAGAAACATTTTATTTTCAACTACTGAATTGAAATTACCCGTTAGCTCACTTATTTCGGTAATGTTTTTACATGAATAACCGGCGAGAAGTTCAGAAATAATATCTGTAAATCTGTTTTTACCTGTTCCCTGAAGTCCTTTCAAAATAATTGCTGTTTCATTCTTGATTCCAGGATGTTGAATCATTGATGCAATCCAGCTGAGAAGGTATTTATACACTTCATCGTTATTATCACAAATGGCTTCTTTAATGAAATCCATAAACATCTCAATTTTTGAGTAATCAGGCTTTTCGAGAACGTTGTATTTATAACCCTGAAACGTTGAGAAAACATCTGGAGAATCAGATTTAAAGCAAACACCCTTAACAGTTAATGAAGACAATTGATTTAGTAGTACGTCCCATGCTGTTATGGTTTTACCTTCTTCTTTAAATAATTTAATCATTTTAAGTGACTCTTTCATGTTTGACTGAAGAACGAATGATATTTGATTCATTTTATCATGAATATTATAGTCCTTTTGAATGAAATATTTATTTCCACAATCTACAAAACGGATTACACGTGATAAATCCTCAATGACTTCAGAACTGTTTTTATACTGATGATTTTCAGCCTTGCGTCTAATATCTGTTATCAAGAATGAATCATCAAGTTTGATATCAAATGTTATTTTTGGCTTACGTAATAAAGGTAAAACGTATTCATCATAATATTCCTTTTGGTATAGTTTTAGAATCTTCACTAAAACAAATGGAGAAGTCATTAAATGTGCATATCTACTACGTGCTTTTTCAAAATTACTTTTAGCATTTTCTGTTAAGCTGCAGAAGTTATAAACGTTATCGTAGGCTTCATTAATTAAATGATCAGGTAACGAATTAATAGCTTGAAACAGTGTGAATAATGTTATTTCTTTTTCTAAATTCATGTTTCCACCGTCATTATGTACTTCAAAATCACTAATACCATCAACTATGCTCTGGGCAAGTTTATCGTCAATGTTTACATCTTTGTTTTCATTCATGATAGTCTTTATTTCTTCATTCTTTTGTTCAACTCTTACCTTAATATTCAAATCATTTAATATATCATTCACTGTTCTAGTTAATGTTGAATCGTAACTTCCACGAATGAATGAGTATGTTTTGATTGGTTCTGTTGCATTCTTGCGAACTCTTGAATCAGCCATAACCACTAATGAACGCTTTGAATCATCAATAGAAGTCATGATATCGATATCATAATCATTACATGAATAACATTTAATCATTCTGTTCGAAACTGAATAGAAGAAATTAGTGTTGCAATAAATGTGAAGACCTCCTGAAGCGGTTTTAACGATAACATCTTTATCCGAAAGCTTTGATAAAATGTCTTTTCTAACCGTTTCTTTAAGTTCATCATTGTACGATTTTGATATCAACATCTATAATCGTTAAATTTGAAATTTTATTACTAATAAAGCCATACCAGTTTTCCTTCCTCTTCCTCCATCGTGTTTGAGGTAGTTATGTAAATCAATCTTGTTTTCACCAATTCTTTCGTTGAGGGTTTTAGTTTCTGCCACAACTAATTCCTCAGCTAATGAATCAATAACTTTTTCATCAGAAACGATATAGTTGTTGTTGTTGTTTGTTGCTGTCATTTATATAGGAATAAAAAATAAAAATAATTTTAAAACTAACTTTATTTTTGGGCTGCATCATATTTCCAGGACTGTTGTCAAAATGTCATGTTGTCTCATTTTTTCAGAGAAGTTAAATAACCTGGTGACATGGTGACATAGTGACACCTTCAGTTCTTCAAAAATAATTAATTATTGAATAACCTGAAAACATTAACGTAAACATTAACGTAAACATTAACGTAAACATTTATTTCCAGGACTGTTGTCAAAATGTCATGTTGTCTCATTTTTTCAGAGAAGTTAAATAACCTGGTGACATGGTGACATAGTGACACCTTCAGTTCTTCAAAAATAATTAATTATTGAATAACCAAGACTGTTGTCAAAATGTCATGTTGTCTCATTTTTTCAGAGAAGTTCATTAACCTGGTGACACATGGTGACGTAGTGACACCTTCAGTTCTTCAAAAATAATTAATTATTGAATAACCTGAAAACATTAACGTAAACATTAACGATAAAATATATTTTTGGTTGTTTATGACAAAAATAAATGGTTCATTTACTCACAATATTTTTTTACAAAACGACCCCAAACTTTTAACTTCTTTTCTGCAGTTTCTAATGCTATCTTAGCGAGTTCATATTCTCTAAATTCTCTCTTTAAATCTTCTTGTTCCCATTGGTCTAGTTCGTATGGAGAATCTCTATAACCATAATATATCTCACGTTCATGTTCTAATTGTTTTTTGCACATTTTTCTAACTTCTTGTTCGAACAAAGGTTTAGCATTCTCTACTGTATCTTCAAGTTCTTCTTCATCTAATTTCTCATGAACTTTCTTGTCTATGGAGTCCATAATTTTTCCAACTGCTATGCAATATTTTGGAGAAGCCCACATTGCTATATAGTTTATAAGTCTTGGGTCTACATACGTTCCTCTAACCTGTTTGATTTCATCAGGAATTCCTGCATGAATTTTGTATAAAAAGCAACCGTCTGAATTCCGGCGGTTGCTATATTCTTCACAAAATGCCTTATAATACTCTTCCCAGGACTTATTTTCCAACAACTTTCTAAAGTCTTTCCTAAACTGTTGGCACATATTTGTTGCATTAATGTAACCATCCTTGTCTCTACGTAAGACTTCAATACCATTATAAGTGCCTTTTGTGAATGTTTCACCATTAGATTTGTTCGTGAATGTTTTTGCTTCGACCGACATTACTGTTCTTACATACAAAATAAAAAATAAATAAAAATAATTTTAAAACTAACTTTATTTTTGGGCTGCATCAAATTTTCGTAAATGTTGTCAAAATGTCATGTTGTCTCATTTTTTCAGAGAAGTTAAATAACCTGGTGACATGGTGACATAGTGACACCTTCAGTTCTTCAAAAATAATTAATTATTGAATAACCTAAAAACCGTTAACGTAAACATTAACGTAAACATTAACGTAAACATTATTTCTGCAGTTCATCCATTACTTCATTACCTAATTAATTACAGACATAAAATATATTTAGTTCATTCGGTAAGCCTTGACCCAAAAGTCTGGGCTCAAGCACATTCAATGAACGCGGTACCATGCGAATACAGTCACAAATGGTGGCATGTAATCTTTACCCGAGCCTGTTGGATTTGTTGTGAAAGTGTGTGAATGATTTCCTGAGGTTCCACAGAAAATACCTGTGCTTGAATCTACTGGGTCAGTTGTGATATCATATCTATTCATTCCCCATCTATCCGAACCCGCTGCAAGATTTGTATAACCTCTTTTTGTTATTGAATGTGAATGATTTCCTGTTGTGTTTGTCGTTCCTGTATGAGTGTGCGGTGGAAGGTTTGCTTCTTTAATTTTCTTCGAACCTCCTGTTTGCTTTGAATATCTAGCACAGTATAAGAATTTATCTACAATCTGCTTCCACATACCAAAACCTAAAACTGTTGATGGATTTGTTGAGTTCATTGATGTATAAATAGAACCAACAGGATATAATGTTTGAAGTATTTCATTTTTCATGCTTGTAATCACATCATTTACTTCCGACTTCTTTGCATAATTTTCATCAACATATGTTTTATCTGCTTTAAGGTCTAAACATCCTGAAACCCATTCTGTATCAGCTTTAACTTTAAAAGTCTCAAATGTCCATTCATGATACCATTCAACCTTTTCTTTAATTTTATTATCTTTTTCATCAACATAAACCAAATTTGCTTTCTTCATTAATTCACTATCCACATATTCCTTATCCACCTTCTTCATTATGTCATTTAGGAAACCTTCTATGAATTCCTCATTTAAATTAAATCTTCCAATCTTCAAAACTTTAGGAAATGCATTTAATGCGTAATATCTCTGTTCTTCTGGTGGAATTGATGTTATATCATCCGTTATACCTTTAATTTTAGAATTCATAAATAAAATTTCTTTTATATTTGATATCACTGCACCACCTTTGCAAACGAATTCGAAATGTTCATTTTTCAATACTATCTCCAAATCTCCATATTTCAACCTTTGCGTTTGTTCTGCCGTCTTTGAATTATATGCATATATGGCGTATGTAATGGTCTGAGGGACCTGGGTGTTTTGTGCCTTAAGTTGTTGTGGTTGCTGTTGTTTAATCATTTATTATGATTTAAAAATAAATATTTAATCTGTTATCTCATCACCTATTTTTTCTATTTGAAATTGCCATAATATTTCATTCATGAATTCTAAATCACAATCAAATAGGTCAGTTATTCTAAATTTAATATTTGATAAATCTTTTGAATGAAGAATAAATGAATTCCCGGATAATTGAAACGGATATGATAAAGAAAATGTGTTTAAGTTGATGGATAAAATGTTTTGTATTGATGGGTAAGAGTTAGAGTCTAATGTTTGATGTGAAAATCTCATTGGGGTATTAACTTTATCACATTTGATTAAAATGAAATTGGAACCAGTGTCAGAATACAAAACATCCCCAACATCTTTTTCAAAATTTAATATCCCCAACAATGAACGATGATGAGGAGTACAAAATTTAATTTTCAGCGGAAATTTAATAAGGTTATTTATTTCATCAAGTTCAAAAAGTTTATCAGGTTTTGATTTAAAATTTTCTTCATACCATACGATAAATGATTCATTTAAATAACTTAAAATCATGTTAATATCCCATTTCGCTATCACATTATTTATATACATATCATACGTTTTTTCAAGGTCATCTTTAATAAATGATATATAATCTGAAGGGTCTAAAAGAATGGGATTAAATTTACCACTCACAGAAACGAGAGTAACATTATAAATTCCGCTAACTGTTAAATTTAATTCACAGTTATTATTCGAAATAATATTGATAATTGACATTTTTTATTACGATTAAAAATATGGTAAAGCGTTATTTTCCAGTGATAAATAAAACTAGAATAAGATTACCTCAAGAATTCATAAATTCAACGAATAAGAAATTCATTCATGTTATAAATTTTAGTGTTTTCAGAAAATATGAGTCAGTGTCATATTCATCAACAGGTTATATTTCACTTCATTCAAATTTAGTTCAATCAAACCCATATAATGACCATTTCATAAGATTTTCAGATGGTATTAAAAATGTAATTGATAGATTAAAATATGAACAGATTGACAATATCGAATTTTTGGAATTTTGGTTTAAATATCCCGATGGAAAAAAGATTGAAGTTAAAGATAAAGCTGATACTATAACAAAAACAATTACAATGACCGATCCAGATAGTGGGGAATAAAAAGAAATAAAACAAACGATAGAAACTGGTGAAAGGTCAATTATTATTGATTATGATTCAAAGGATTATTATTCAATAATGTTAATGCTTGAATATTAAATAGCCTTAACAAAGAATTTTTCAAGTGATATTTTATTCATCAACTATTTTATTATAAATATCATTATATGTTAAATGAAGTTCAGTTGTTGTTCTGTTCTTTGATATCTTAATTGTGCTAATATCCTTTATAGGATTTATTTTTGCAACTGTTCCGCAGCATGAAACCTCATCATCTATGAAAAATTGAATCTTAACGTCTGAATCTTGAACATCACAAAGAATGGCGATAATGTGAATTAATGATTCATAAGGTAAAATAATTAAACCGGATTGTCAATTAAATTTATTATTGAATCATAATTATTAATTATTATATCACGGTAAATTTTCATTAATTCAGAATTAATGTCTATTTTATATGGGTTCTCGATGTTTGATGAAAGAGGTGGGGGTATGTTGGATAAGTGGGAATTTCAACAGGTTCTTTACCAGGTTCAGATAAAATGATTGGGTCTCCATTCTCATGGTTTTCTTCATTCTCCTCCTTTTCGTAAGTCACGAGTTAATAAATTTGTTGAGTTGCTGACCTTGTTAATTCAGGGCTAACATTAACTTTAACATTTTGAATAATTCGTGATTTATCATCATTTACGTTATAACCAACCGTAATCTCTGCTTTTGCGTTAGTGTTCTTTTGACTAGTGAAACGTCTTCTCATTTATATTCGAATAAAAAAATATATTTAAACTTTTATTTTGCTGGAACTTTTGAATCTATTATTCCTGTATTTGTTCATGAAGTTGATTTTTAGCTTTTCATCGAAATTAATAGACCGAATATATTCATTAATTGCATTCTTATAATCATCTGATTTCTCAAATTTTCTTTTATCTGATTCCTTAACTAAATCATAAGTTAAACCTCGTTGCTGATATAATGGTTTCTTAATTAAATCTTTGAATGCTTGAGATAAAGCACCTGATGCAATTCTTGCTACTATAATTGGTTGGAATTGCTGTTTAAGTTCATCTTTAACATTTGCGAAAACTGGATCGAATAAAGCAACTTTAAAGAATTTTCTTAGCTGAAATTTCAGGTCTAATATTTGCATATTGACCATCAAACTGGTTAGAATATCGTGGTAATCCATCCGGTCCCTCTTCAACAGCATTTAATTCTTCATTGAAATAAGAATATGGATTATGACGGTATGAATTAATTGGACCATTTTCACCTTCTCTAATGTATTGTTTAACAGCTTTTCCATTTTCATCAAATTGCATAGGATAACGTTCATTATATGCTTTACGTTTAGGATAATCAGACATAGTTAATTTATAACCATTTATGACTTTAATATTACCTTGACCATCAGTAACGAAAACTTCATTTATACCATCAGGTTTTCCATTTGGACCTGTAATGTCTGCTTCGTGTGCTTCCCAATTTGGACCTTGACGTTTGGCATATGCTTGAGCTTCTGGTAATGTTAAAACGTTTCTCATTTGTTTAACATCTTTTTGAAGACCAGCAACAATATGAACTAATTCTTTCATTCCATCAGGAACTTTCATAGTTCTATTATATGCACCCTTTTTGTTTGTCCCTTGTTTTAATGGAACCTGTAGAAGATTTACCATTTCAGTCATGTTTAATTATAAATAAAAAATAAAAATTAATTATAAAAAGTTAATCAAATTTAACACTTCCTTTATTTAAATCAACTATTATTTTTCCATGTTCACCTAATTGCTGATATTGTGTGTAAAGTTCATTAATGCTCATTGGTAAATTCACTTGATAAAGCATAACGTTCAACTGTTGACGACTAAACCCACTGAAAATGAAAAGTGTTGATAGATTCGATTTAATGTTGTGCTTAATGCTTTGAAGTATTGAACAGCCATAAGAATGAACACTGAATGTGTCGACATTGAGTTAATAACTGATTAAAATATGATTTCTCATTTGTTATTAGTTTTGATTTCACTGCATCATCTAGAAAAATGAGTGAATGCAAAAATTCTCTATCAAAATTTGAAATAGAAAGTGTTTCAAATAATTCATCCCGTTGTTTATCAATAATTTTATCCTCTAATCCTTGCTTCTTGATTGTATTATATAATTCTTTATACATTAAAAAGTTTTTTAAATAATCTTCTGCTTCTTCTTGTGATAAATAAATAATTGAATTTTGATTAAATGCTTTAAAGATTCAAATGTATCATCTGAAGGAACCTGAACGGTTGATATAAATTAACACATGTGAATAGGGGGAAGTGTTAGCAATAATGATAATTTGTTTTAATATCGTTAATGTTTTACCTTTATTTTGTTTACCAATTGTGCAGTGATTGAATTTAAGTAACATTCAGAATATGGAATTTCATTAATTTTTCCTTAGATAGAGCATTTCTATTATCACTCAATGCTTCATTAATCATATCATCTACGTATGTATTTATACTCCTGCTAATTCTTCATAAGGGTGGATGAATTTAAATCCATTTAATCAAAAATAAATTTATAATTTTAAACATTTCTATTTCATTCAATATTTCATCATATGAACTTCTATACTGTGGTGGTGTACCTGTTGGATGATATTTCAAACCTTCATCGGTGTCCATGTCCAATATGTAGTCCTAGTAAACCAAACCTGAGGAGGATTTGTCACCTTTGAACAGTAAGTGTCATTTACACCCTGAATGATTGGATAAGCTTTCACTTGTACTGTAACTTGTGAGTTGAAAGTTTCTAATCCATCAAAGAATATACCCGTCCATCACGTTGAACTGGAATAGTGCATAAGAATGAAGTTTGGTCTTTCCATGTTCTAGCTAATGGTGCCATCATCATCATTCAGTGGTCTAGTTAATGAGTCCTCGTATTCTTCCGTGCATTCATTCACTCCATCTAAATCAGAAGCTTGAAGCATACGTGTAAAGAATATGTCGCCCACTGTGGTCATCGCTTGATCGGGGAAGTTTCTGGAATCTATTGTGACCTGAAGACCTCGAAGCATTGGATTTTCTAAAACCGTTCTTTGCATTGCATTCTTCGGAAATGTTAACACAAATCTGTAACATTATGAAGAGCGTATGAGAAATCTGAGCTGATACCTTCAGGAGTGATGCAACCTCCATTTAGTGAACGAACGTCAATATGTTGAGCTGGAATCATGAATGGATCTTCCTTACTGAATAAACGTGGTATTGCTTTAACTGATTCTTCAATTAAACCGTATCCTGGTGTAATGCATTTATCCTCTAAAACTTCCATCTTTGTGCATGAAATAATAACGTCATCAACTGTTGCGTCAGCAGATGTAGCGGCTAAGCTTGTAATTAATTTGGCAGGAAGTCCGATTTGTTGGAATTTGCGATCATATTTATAAACATGATTCATAATCTTTTCATAATTTCATCATTATCTTTTCATAAACGTAATTTTGTAAATCAGCAACTTTAACGGGTCAACCTGACAATATACTAAAGTATCCCTGAAAACATAATATTTAAAATGATTTCACCAAATGATTTAGGATAATCATCGAACGCCTGAAATGCTAACAAATCATTTACCGGAATAATCATATCAAAAGTGATATCAACTTCTTCATTTGCGTTCTTGAAAACTTCTGAAGGGTCAATATATTTACCACATACTGAGTTATCAATTTTTGAACATTATTATATAACGAATGAACAAACTTTTTAACTTTCCTTTCTGATTTGGTTTATATGTTGCAAATGCGAAAGATTTCACGGGCGCAATCCATCTGAAGATAACCGGCATCACCTCTTGGTTTCTACTTCTAATTGTTTAAAGCTTTGATTTGATGATTTGTAACCAACGAATAAACGCATGCATTTAAAAGCGCATCACATGTGAAAGCTTTATTTGAAACTAGAGTTGCTTTAACTTTGCGTTTAATATATGTGTCACCTAATTGTTCACATCATGAGCCGGATTTGTAATTCTTAAATGAGTTTGTTTATCATCAAAATATGGAGCATCAGAGTCATAGCATGAACTTTCAAGTTCTCTATAATATCTTCTACCGTCATTCTTTGCGAATATTTCATTTATCTTTTCGAATGAATGAAACACATTTCCATTAATCGGTTTAGTGTTTGGCACCAAATAGTTAGTCGTCATTTATTATTAAATAAAAAATCAAAATTAAAAGATGAAAATGAATTTTTAATTTTAATGAAATAATCAACTATGGCTGCAGGTATATTTAAGAAACTGTGGGATAAAGTAAAAAGAGGAGCGCATAAAGTTTGGGAAACAATGAAGAAAGGAGCAAATTGGATATTTAAGAATAAAGAAGCAATTAGTGACATTGCTGAATCAATAACACCAAAAGCTGCCCCAATAAGAAATATTAAATAAAGGAGAAAAAGTTTATCAAAGACTTCAACCGATACTAAGATAAAAAAATATTTATTTATTTTTCCACTATCTACCTCCTATTTTATTAAGTATTCCTTCAGCAATTCCACCAATTGCGTTACCTGCTTGTGCTCCCATCGCCGGATTACCTGCTTTAGTACCTAATACTCCACCTATGATAGTTCCTGCCGTTTTCGCTACTGGTGCTAAAAAGTTTGCAACGGGTTTAATAATCTTTTTATAAACCCAACCCGCAGCTTTCTTAATTCCATCCCATAATTTTTTTAAAGAATCCTGCCGCCATTTCTGATTTAATATTAATTAAAAAATATATTTCATCACTTATATTCTAATTTTTATTTAATGATAAATGAAACCAATTTTAAAAATAAATGAAACAGAGGAGGAAGAAATAAATGAAAGTGAAAATGTTCAACAAAAAATAAACGTTGTTAAACCAATTACTGAAATAAAAATTTTTTCATCTGTTGAAGAATTTAATGACTATTATGCTAACAATAAAAAATTATTTGAAGAATTGACAACGTGTAAATTGAATAAAAATGTTTAAAGTTGATGGATTCAAAATTTCAAAAATAAAAGGTGTGGTTAGTTTGAAATCTATTCCTCAATCAAGAATCACCTCATTAATGAAAATGATGATTTAACAAAAAGAATAGAAGAGATTGAAGAAAGAATAAATCAAATAATTGATTTCATAAATTCAAATAATCATTAGTTTCTTAAAGTTCAATGTTGATTCTGAGACATGAATTTTTTAAAGTTTATTTTTTATTTCATTATGTAGAATCTTTTATTCATGAAAATAATTATTTCTAATTTCTTTTACTCTCTCGTACATACTAGATTTAAAGAATTCAGAACTTTTACCATAATCTCCTAAATGTTTCTTATCCCTAACGTGTGCCAGTTATTATATGAAACTGAATAAACTTTATCTTTATCTTTACACCTTTCATCACTTCCAATATATTTATATCTCAGTTTTGATTTATTGGTTTCATATTCATTAACGTTTAATAATTCACAGTCTTCCTTTTTAAATAAATTTTTATGTATTCAGGATTAACAATTCTATAATATTGCTTCCCTTTAAATCTTTGAATATAAACAGGAACACCATCCTCTAAAATTCGATAATCTATTTTATCTGGTTTACTTGTTGGGTCATTATGTAAGAATAAAAAATAAACTTTTAAAATTAATATGTTAAAAAAATGATACAAAATCGCTCGATATTGTATGAATTCTTACGTTTACAAAAAAAGTCACAAAACCCATCCTATCCTACTACTCTTCAGGTCATTATCTATAATTATTCTATAAATTGTATCTAAATGAATATCGGCATTTTTCAATAACCTTGCTTCGATATCATAATGTCTGTTTAATTTAATTCCGTATTCTTTATAAAATAGAAATATAGTAATTTCAAATTGAATATTTCTGACCTCTTTTACATGATAATCATCATATATGAATTTCGCCAGTTTCAAATAATACTTTGTAAAGCAGTTATTAAACGGAATAATATTCAAAATATCGCTTATAATATTTTCTGGTAGATATTTCTCTGAATCAATCAAATTTATTTTGATCATTTTGTAAATCTTCATCATTTTCTGTTTTTAACTGATACAATGCATTAAATGGATCAATATAGTATTTGTCGATATTTTGCAATTCACTATATGTATTAGGAAGAATGAATTTATCAGACATAATAAAATATAAATTTAAAAGTGCCAATAAAAAAATGAGTCGTATTGATAATAACTATCACCCAATTATTGTATAAAATATAATACTAAATGTTCCATATGCATATGTGATAGTATATGTACTTTTATCTCACTATTATAGAAATGTGTGTCTATATGGAGTCATGTATATAGTATAAAATGCTGTTTGATAACAATATACCTTCGAGTCTGTTTTAAACACATAACGATTAATAGATATGATACTTACCGTCATCACAATGAAAAAAAAAACTGAGAACTGGGAATTGGATGAACCTTTTTCATAGAGCCGCAATGCATATATGCACGTAATACTTTTTTGTTATTAGTATAATGATTTATTGTCAAAGAATTGTAAATTATGTATATTTTTTATAAAAAAATTTTATAGCTTTATCTTCTCAAAAAATATCAATAATATAATAATAATAAATATATAAATAAAATCATTTCTTTTGTGGAATCATGTAATTCACTGCCATGATTATCCTCTTAGTCATTCCAATTGCTATCTGGTACGTCTTTGGCGAAGGAATATCAGCTTTTCCAGCCTTTTTTCTCAGCAATTCTCTCCATTGTTCATTTCCAATAAATCTTTGTCTTAATGATGCCAATCTATTCATCAGATACTTATCAACAGCTGATGGAACTAATGACATGAAACAAACTAAGTCAGTGATCATCTGCAAAGCGTCCAAAGTAAAGAAGCCGCCAAACTGAAATACACTTGAAAATGTTTCAGCGAAATCAGAAATAAATTGTCGACTTTGTTTCTTTACGTCTTCATTATTAGAAGAACTTGCCGCGAGTGCAGACATTGCTTTGATTGCTTTAGAAGCTGTCTGCAATATCAATTCAGATATTGGAGAGTTCGTTGATGTAGAGAATGACTCTCCAAGTGATTCCCACATCGATTTATGACCAATCAAAGTGATTAATCCTCTCTGAATAAAAATGGAAGGATCAGAACCACTTGAAATAACTCTTGTAAAGAAGGAGAATTTGCTGCCAAGAACGAAAGCGCCTGCATCATTATCTTCATCGAAAATTAACCAATCAGTTGGTAATTGTGCAATTGAATACGAAATAAACTCATCTAAACTTGAGTCTTTCGCGAAACTTACTAATGATTCTGCTGCTGCGAAAACAGCTGCTTTTGTTACAGGTATCTGGTTCTTCATGTCATCAAGGAAACATGAAGAAATTCGTGAGGAATTCTCAAGATAAATCTGACAAAGTTCTTCATCAATTTCTCTGTTCGCAAGTAAAGAAGTGAACAAAGAATAGACACCAAGCATAGAATCACTGTGTCTGTTGATGTGTAAGGATATCAATGCTTCAATAAGTGCATTGAATGATACTAAAATATCGTGTTTGTCAATTTTTCCGAAAATTTTATCGGCGAAAATTGAATGGCCAATGAAACCAACTGCTTGAGAAAGATACATCGTTGTTTCACTGTTGGAGACTGTTGTTATCTTGTTAAGAAGGTGTATCATGAAAGAGATCCATGCATTGCCCCAATGCTTGGCGGAAATGATCACATTCTTGTTTGTGATAAAAGAAACAACAGCTTGGAACATTCCTTTCGCAATTAATGTTGCTTCATCGGAATCATCGATTCTATCAATGAACTCGAAGGCAAGAACAACACGTGACCTTTGCTCCGAGAAGCCGACAACGTTGAGAAGTATCTGTACAACGTGTAAGGTCGTTCCTGAGCTGTTTTTGGCTGATTCCATAGCTTCCCTCGCGAGAAGCATTAAGAAACAACCAATGGCAGTCATGGAGGAGTGGTTGTCCTGCAGATTTACGAGTTGGCGGTCGAAGAAGGAGTGCGGGGAACTGCGAAGTGAACTCAAAAGTGGAGAAACCGTCAATGAGTGGTCGCATAGCATTAACATTAACTGAAGGGAAGCTGCTGCGAATCTTGGATAGTTCTTGGCGGCCATCGTCGTTCCCATCTTCTCAACAAGCTTGGGGATGATGCCCTTCTCTAATGTGGACTTTAATAATGAAGTTGGTGGATCTGAAACATCAAAACCGCTAACGTAACGAGCGAAATACGACGAGGACCCTAATGATACAAGGAATTTAAGCAGTCTGACCCTTACACAAGTTTCTTCATTTCCAATTTTACTCGGTTCTTCCTCTTCATCGCGTTCTATGACCTTGATAAAGCACGGGATTGGCTTTACAGAAGTAAAAACGACCTGTACGATCTGAGCGGCGTTGTTTGCGAGGTATTGGCTCAATGAAATTGCAGAAATCTGAACATCTTTGTCGTTTTCTGCAACAGAAAGAATGAGCTTCTTAAGGAAATCAGAGGACCATGATACTTGTTGGCTTAAAGAAACGACAGATGAATGGAAACTCGAATCTGGGTTCTGGAAGAACTCTTCTTCATGCTGGGAGATAGTAAACAATAATCTGTATACGCATAATAATGTTTCAAGTGGAGTTTCGTCTTCTACAACGATTGTAAGTAATCCACGGATAAATCTTTGATCGCAAAGCGCAGAACGCATAACAAGGTTGTAGTGGACCTTGTCGTATTTGAATAAATTAGTCCAAACTTGGCAAATTTCGCATAAGATCGACCATTTTTCGTTAAAGTGGGCGTATAGTCTATCTGGTAGCTTTAATAAGCAGAACTCAAGCAAGAACACATGGATATGTTCGAAGTTTAACGGTGGAGGAGCGTTTTGTACTAATTTCGATAAAAATCTCACGAAAGAACGCATAAGAGGATAAGCGCGCTCAGCCAATTCTGTCTTCTCTATATCAAGGATGATGCCGCCGGTGCCAGATTGGACATTATCCGGTGTTAAAATTTCTGTAAAAACAAATTTTTTCCAGATTTCAACTGTATACGTTTCATCCTGCGAAATTTCCGATAGGGTATCGTAGCAACATGATTTGAGGGTCGCAGGGATCATAGATGATACATAAGTTATTAAATTATTTATTAAGTTGTTTGAGTTGATAATTTCGCGACGGCATAGTTCGCTATGCTTGAATAATGATGAAAGTAATCTGAAAATCGATTCAAGTGTACTAGAATCATCTTCTGATAATTTTGCAACATTTGCTTGAGATTGATTGAAATCATCTGCATAACCTGATATGGCTTGTAAGAAATGAGGTAAATTTATCAATTGCGAGTTGGATTTTGCTAATCTATCGTAAACTAATTCAGATGTTTCTTTATCTACGGATAAAGATGCTAAAAGTTTAATAAAAGCAGCAACAAAGCGCGGCTGAGTAAAATCTGTAGCTGAAGAAATGATTTCTGTACCCATTGAATAAAAATGTCGACCAAAATCTGGATCTTTTCTCATTCTAGCTAATACAGTAACTAATTGTATAAAATCTCGGAAATCTGTATTGTTTTTCTCGGGTGCTTCCTCAGCAAATATGTAATCATGCTTGATTTGTCTTTCATTTTCGATAAATCCTTGAATTCTGTCTTTATGCTTTTCGATAACTTTAAATACGAATGCCTGAGCGTATATTTCGAGAACTAATTGATAAGATTGCGTTTGAGAAATCGAAGATTGAAGTAATAATGTGTTTGCGATGAAAATAAGAAGAGAAGGAGTATATGATTTTTCTATAAAGTCTCTAATATCGGCAATGATACCAAATGCTGCTTTCATTATTTGTTGCAACTGAGGACACCGAGAACATTCTTGCCATTCTTCTTGGATTTTGCCGCCAATATGACTGACGAACTTCTGCTTGTTAGGTTCAAAATACGGATTCGTTAGCATTCCTACAAACTCTGTAACAGCCATCGAAGCATCGTAAAATGGTTTTGTTTCGTTTTCTATAGTAAAATGAGCAAATGATGGTCGAGTAAACTCTTCGTAGTATTGTATACTACTTTTGCTTGGTGGATTTGAAATCTTCTTGATCAAAGTTCTGCATCGATTTATAACTTCGTCAAAATCAGAAGTTTCAAGCTCTTTTTTCTTATAAGTAAGACGAAAATTGGTTTCTGCTGGTTTAAAAACTACAGGGGCCGCAATTGATGTTGATGCTAGTGAGGCACCGCTGAGTTTTAAGTTCATTGAAGAAAAGTGACAGATCCTAAATTTTGTGTTCAATGTTATCAAGAAATTATCATAAATTTTATATCTCTTGCTGCAAAGAAGAAATTTTGCTCTTAAAATATGAGATTTTGACTTTCTTTTTAGTAAATTTATGATCAAAGATTCGCATCTAGACAATATTATTAGTTAATAATTCGTAAAACTTATGTATGCATCCATAGTAATTCATGTGCATGATATGAAGAAAATCATTCAACTTCGTTTTGAGATATTTGATAGCAGAAATTAATTAAAGGTTTTATGAATTCATCCATCATTTTTGGTAGTAAACTTAGTGGACGTATAGAATTCAGTATGATATTAGAAATAAATTTAAACTAATACAAATTCATAAGCTATTAAACACATTTGTGATAGTGACTTAATGTTATTATCAAAAACATGAAGGGTGTATAGAGTGTTATATAATTCTCCGTTAATTCAAATGAATTTTAGAGGAATATTTCAAAAATTAAAAGAAATTGTTTGATTTTAAGTCCTGTCTAAGTTTTTCATTAGCAATATCAAGTGATTATAAGTACAATCTTTAAGTGATGAACAAAGAATAACAAAGCTATTTCTCAGGGGTTATTAATAGGTCTTTTTTCATTCTGATATGCTACTGATGAATACAATATGAATGATAATAATGTGTCATAAGATGGTGAAAAATGAAAATAAGTTGTGACCATCTCATCTGAGTAACTAGACCATAATCGAGACAACCATGAAGTTATGTAGCTTATGGAGTTCTCAAGTCCAGGAAGGAAAACATGGGTTATAGGACTGACAGAGTTGATTGACTTTTTTAATGCTATAAGAGTGACCAAAATTGAATTTTTGGATATGCCTACATGTAATTAATACAATTAGGCATAAAATATCTCAATTGAAAATTTTTCATTGAATTTCCACCGTGTAATCAATTTTTGATAAATGAGTTTACTTTTAGTACTAGTAGTGATATTCTTGGCGGCAATCACGGTATTTATGTACCTCATCGCCTCTAATCTCTACAAGAACTCAAATATGCAAAATTCTCAAAGAGTACAAAGTCATGATGAAAATTCAAACACAAATACAACAAATAACGACGACAAAGAAACGGTTCAAGCCCTCAAAGAAAATATTGCCGCACTTGAGAAAGAAAATTTGCAATTAAAAGCACAAATATCGCACAGTAGCGGAATTTATCCAAACTTGGATGCACTAAAATCTCTCAGTAAGACATCAGACGATTTCAAGAAAATCTACAAAGTCCTTGCTAAAGTCGCAAGCGAGGATGACCGCGTAACGATTCAATACGCTGTTGCCAATGGTTACAGCAAGGTCAGAGGCGGAACATGGAATTACGATATCGTTACAAATGCAGGCTATAAGAACGATTTCAGACTTGCACAGCTTTTAGTAGATTTTGGCGCCGATCCAAATTCTACAGATGGAACTGGCTGTGGTGCTCTCAGATTCTTCTGCTACGAGGGTAACTTACCAGCTGTTAGGTATTTTGCTTCTCTTCCAAAAGTTGACATTAATGCAGCCAGAGAAGACGGTTTTACACCATTAATGGGCGCTGCTAAGTGGGGCCAGCATGAAGTTGTCGAGTATCTTGCTTCCCTGAAGAACATAAACATCAATGCAAGAAATAAAGACGGAAATACGGCTTTGAAATGCACAACATATGATGAAATTAAGAATATTCTTAAATCTAAGGCTGTGTTGAGTAATTGACATGAAATTAATTTTAAAATTTGCTTTTAATATACCCAGATTTTCCTTACTTTTACCACTCCCCATGTAATTTCTGGGGAAAACGATAATTCATTTTTTTTATGGATGAATAGATCGTTTTCCTAGAAAGGACCTCATATCTCTGGCTAAAAAGAATGTCAGATCCTAAATAGGTTATTGATCTAGTGTACAAATCCAATAAAAAGCCTATTTTTTTGGCTTTTTTGATGCTCATTTTTTCGAAGATCTACATGAATATGGGGAAACCATCGGATTTTTTTGGTTAACCCACATCTTCATGTAGTCTGGACTATCTTTCCTCGAAGGACCTCTTTACGGGTGTAAAAACTCATAAAGTTCTCAAAAGATTCATTCTCGATCTCCATGCTGAAAGAATTTACAATAAAAAAGAGATCTACGCATCAAACTACAGCCATAAATGAACTGAACCCCTAAAGCTCAGCTCTTAGTTTATCAAAAACGTCGAAATCCTTCTCATTGCAATCAAATTTTCTCAATAACTCATAAGAAAAATCGAATTTTGATTAAGCCGATGTTATAGGTATCACAAATACTACAAACTTGAGCAATATCGAAATTGCCAGCAAAAGTTTGAAATTGCATTGCTCATATTTGTTTTGTAAACTAAAAATCTGCTTATATTATTCATTAATTTTTTATATATTATTCATATACTTTAATAAAAACAATACTATTTCACCTTAAAAATGAATTTCATAAGTCAATATTATTTTTTTGAAAATGTATCAATTTTCGATTAAAACAACATGAGAATAAAATCTAGGGATGCGACGGTTTTACGCCATGACCGTTTATAAATAGAATAATCCGCCATTCGGCCGAATAACAAAACAATACAAAATTATCGCCGTCCTTTTTTTTCTTTCTTTCTCTTTTTTTCCCCTCTCTCTCTTTCTTTTCTCTTTCCTCTTTTTACTCCTCTTTCTCTTTTCATCATTAAACATAAAGATTATTAAGGATACCCTTACATTGCGTAGTTAGAAAGAGAATATGATATTGTCATGATTGCGAAAGTTTTAGGCTCCAGAAATGAATATACATCAAACTGAAACAATTGATAAATTGAATGAACTTTTGAGAGGTTCTCAAATAAAAAAATTATCTAATTTTTTACAATATTACTATTATTTTATCCACATATGTATATATAGTAATTTGAGAAAACTTTTAGGAAAAAATAAGTTTAATAAAAATCTGAATTTTACTTGTTGTGGGATTGTTATTAATTGACACTCCAGACGTATTACTAATAGTTATGCGTATGCAATTAAAGTATTTCTGATGGACAAAATGTGAGATTTATATCAGATAATTCATTTCTACTATTAAGTTATTCATTTATGAGTTTGCACTTATTCGCACTAAATAAATAACTATTAAAAATTGTTTTAATTAATTGACACCATATAATAGAGTGAATTTTGTTTGATCAAACAACAATAGATGATAGATATAAAGCCAAGAAACTTGCTATTAATATGCTCTACTTGCTATTTCAATGTAAGTATGATATTTTCTAAATGTTTCGTTCAGATAACTTAGATATATTAGTCAAAATTTGAAATTTTAATAGCACATATATTAAAAATAATTATTATTCATAAAAGATTAATGAAATAGTAAAAAAAATCAATCAAATTATAAAAATACAACATTTAGAAGAATTCTTATTATCCTTCAAAAAGTCAGTATTTCTGCTGTAATTTTCTACAACATTGTAGTTATTGCACTTTGTCTATGGATTTGTATATATGTTATATATAATTATATATCTAAACTGCCCATAAGTGCAATTTTTATATAAATTGTTTATTTCTTTAACAATTTCATATAAAATATGCTTTTTTAAGCGTATCAAAGCTGTGTTCTTAATGTGCATGGATATATCAAGAAAAATGTCGAAAAAAATGTGAATTCACAAATTCACTGAATTTTCACCGTTTTTTGAATTTTGCTACAGCACTAATATTAAATAATACTAAAATCTTCTGTCTTTGTAAAAGAATAAATTCTGACAAAAAGTGCTCGTTTAAATTTAATGATCATCTGTATGACTAAGTGGTAAAAAGTGTTTATGACCAAAAAAGGGTTACATGCTTAGTCTATTTTTCTGACAGGATACTCTAGATTTACATGATCTCTATTTCATATCTCCGTTTTTAGATTCTTCGACAGATTTTATGATAGAAAACCAAGATTAACAAATTTCCGGCATGTTAATGAAGAAATCTGCAGCTACCCTCAATATTATTTCAATAATCAGTATCGTTTCTCTTACAATTTATTTTTTCTCAATAATTTAACAAGAAATAACAATACACACTTGGTTTTACGTATAAAGCTAAGTGTCGAACTTAATCAACTTTACTTACTTAGCAAATGAATATTTTTGTGGTTGCGAGTTCTGAATGCTGAAGTTTTAGATTTCTCTATAAATGATATCATTGCACTTACAATGTTGTTCCAGCCTATCGCATAAATCATAGAAAATCCAAAAAAAAAATAATATAAAGAAAATTCATGTCATGAAGTTCAAAAAATACCGTGTAACATTAAATTTGTTATGCATAATACATTTTAGCTATTATTGATTTTTTTTAATTTTCGAGAAATTGAATGGTGAGTCCGATAGAGAAATTTTTAAAAATCCTAGTGCCTCATAGAAGTAATTTCCCTCGTCTCCCATACTTCCAAATGTATGCATATGACATAAACTTTTATGCATTACACAAGTGGCCAATAATATCTATAGAGTAAAAAATTAGAAATTTAATTTTTTTATATGATAGTTATATTTCAGATTTGCGAGCGTAACTTTTTTCTCCATGGCATACTTGTTTTAAGAGCAAATGATCAAAATCGTCCTTCAATTATTGAAGGAGCTGATATCTTTTGAAAATTGAATTGAAAGAGTATTCAATTTTCAAATTTCCTCTCAATTTTGGAAACATATCAACTCTATGAATTAACAATTATGTGCCTTCACAGTTTATCAGTCATATAAGGTGCTTATAAAGAAAAAAGTTACGCTCGCAAAATATGTTTTTATATAGATTTCACATAAAATAATTATGTAATTTCTAAAAAGAATATTTTTGTTCTTGAATATTAAAATGTATTGTAGTTTAAAAAGTTTTAAATATGTTGCTAAAATTTCAGGTTTATAGCTCATGTCTAGCATGACTTCTTCGTATGCGCAAAAAATCTGACACGTAAGGGTATCCTTAAAAAAAAATAAAGAAAGTATAATAAGTAATTATTTAGTTATCGATATAGATATGTAAAGTGATAATCTGAGGATAATCTGAGGAGGAGTCTGAGGATTAGACCGAGGAGTAGTTTGAGGAGTTTGATGATAATCTGAGGAGGAGTCTGAGGAGTAGTCTGAGGAGTTTGAGGATAATCTGAGGAGTTTGAGGAGTAGTCTGAGGAGTTTGAGGAGTAGTCTGAGGAGTTTGAGGATAATCTGAGGAGTTGTCTGAGGAGTAGTTTCAGGAGTTGTCTGAGGATAATTTGAGGAGTTTGAGGATAATCTGAGGAGTTTGAGGATAATCTGAGGAGGAGTCTGAGGATTAGACCGAGGAGTAGTCTGAGGAGTTTGAGGATAATCTGAGGAGGAGTCTGAGGATAATCTGAGGAGTAGTTTCAGGAGTAGTCTGAGGAGTAGTCTGAGGACTAGTCTGAGGATAATCTGAGGAGGGGTCTGAGGATAATCTGAGGAGGGGTCTGAGGATAATCTGAGGAGGGGTCTGAGGATAATCTGAGGAGGGGTCTGAGGATAATCTGAGGAGGAGTCTGAGGATAATCTGAGGAGTAGTCTGATGAGGAGGGGTCTAAGGAGTAGTCTGAGGATGATGAGTAATCTGATAAGGAGTAGTCTGAGGATGATCTGAGGATAACCTGATGACTAGTCTAGGAGTGGTCTAATAAAAATGTAAAATATTTTCAAAGAAAAAATTCTATGAATTTTATATTTTAATTCTTAGCATTATACTGAATAAAATAAACATAAATATCAAAATTTGAAATTGAACACGCCAAAAAATTGATAATCTACATTCAATATTTTGTAAGTGGCGTACATTTTGAATACTCGCCATACGCCTTGGAGTTCTCAATTTTGAATTCGCCTTTATTTGGGCGACCTCAGAAAAATACACCATTAAGAAAATATTGTATGAGATTTTAAATTTGAACACGCTCTACCTTAAGGAATTAAATTTATTAAGATATATTTATATATAATAAACGATTACTTAAAAAAAAGTATTTCATCGCTTATGTAAGTTTCAAAAAAATCACGAAAATAAAAAAATCAAGATTAAAATTTTATTTTTAATTTTTGAATTTCTCAAATGGCGAAATTTTTGGGCGAACAAAAAAAATGTACGCCCGGTCAAATGGCGTGTTTAACGCATCCCTATAAAATTTACGCAAAATTATTTTAAAAAATGGTTTTAAAAATTTACAATTGATGAAGAATAAGATTGCAAGAAGTTTTGAAGTTTAATTTTAAGAAAAAAAATTCGGATATTATTCATGGATCTAAGTAATCTGATATTTGAGTATCGGCACTATGCATAAAACATATATTTATAGTTTTTTTGGAGTTTTATGATTTTAAATATATTCAAATTTGGCAATCCAATAGATTTTTAAAAAATAGGTAAATAAAAATAGATTACATATGCAGCAGATTTAGAACATGAAACAAATCTTATAGTGACCCAAAAAAAATTCATGATCCAAAAAAGAAAAAAATTAGCTAAATGGGAATCAAACCTTGGCATAATGAATCATTATGTCGGATGTTTCCACTACACCAGCAGTTCGAAAAATACCCTTGGTGGTTCTATTTAATAGCTACTCCCAACGATAGGCGGTGTCCCCAGCTTTAGAGGGGTGGTAAAAGTAAGGAAAATCTGGGTATTTTATATTTAAATTATTTAATTTAAAATACATGCCATCTTATATCCAATGCAATATTTAAGTGTCAAAAATTGCATATTATAAAGAATTCAGCTTGTTAACAAAGGCAGAAATGTTACATTTATTGACAATATGTTAAATTGAAGCGGAAATCGCGTGATCAAATAGCTCATAAGCAAATAAAGTGTTCCACACCTGATAACCTGGATTTTAACATAGTTGACAAATTTTCAACATGAAAAGTGAATGAATCGGTAAATAATTATCAAAAATTTGACTCTCATTGTGTGGCAATTCATATATTAGAAAGATAAACTGGAAACTGGCGGACTCGGCTCAACGAATTCAAAAACCTCAAAAGATAATATGATATATAGGCATTTTATCGATTCCTTGATCAATTGGTTAATTTTTCATGACTCGGTTAGCAATCTTTTTTTTTGAAAAACAGAAGGCATTCGACTTGAGGTGACCCATAGAATAGACTTAGGGGGCTTATATTAAGAAAATAATACTACCTTACGAATCTGATGCATATACTATTCAATTTAGCAAAATTTTGCATGAATTAAACTCCAAATATTACAATTTGTTTTGTCCTCATATAAAATTAGCCCATACGTTATGGTAGAAGATATATGATAGATAGGTAATAAATTGACATTAGTTTTACTTGCTCTCTGTGATTTCTTCTTTAAATATTACATCACATATACAAAAAGAAAGTAATATTGGAAGTTTGTCATATTTCACACTAATTATTAAAGCTCTCAACGTTAGAATTTTCGTTAAATAAATGTCCTAATACGCAATAGAAAGATTCACAATTTAGTATTAAGCAAATTCTCACGCCAATTCTAAAAATATGAACTTAAATCGTAAAATACAAGTATTTATCTTAAATAAACTCCTCAAAGTAAAAATAATGATTTCATTTTGTAAAAAAAATTAACAAAATTCTTTTATTCTATATTCTTTTGAGGTGTATTATTCTGAAAAGTGTATTGTCGTATGAGTTTTGATTGTTTAAGTAAAAATAATATTGATAAGATTATATTGGCGTATGTAAGCTCGTAATTACAAAACTGTACGTTGCATATAAATATTTGTGTAATTTTTTGAATTTTCATATGGAAAATTGTTATTTGAGTGATTGTTGATCAAGTTCCTAGTTGTTATTCCATTAGAGATTGGCACTTTTTGCAAAATAACGTATATTCGTTATTTTTTATAATTTGATGATTTAATAATTAAACAATAATCTGTTAAAGAGAACAATGTTATTTAACATCATTTAAAATGATAAATCAGAAAAGAATTGTAAATTTTTTTTAATTTGCAATTTGGATTAGAAATTATCCTACATTCACACAAACAATATACACAATGGCATATGACAAAGAATATAAAAGAAATTATTCAAATAGAATTTAATCTGATGTGCAATATGCTTATACAATTGAGTCATGTTTGAGTATTGTGCTTGTGAATTGGTGGTGATATACAGTCAATATCATTAATAAAGTAGGACATTAGCTTTAAATAATTATAATGCAAGAATTGGAAAAATTATTATTTCTTATTTAGGTAAAAATCCATTAAATCTGGTAAATTGATAAAATATATAATAATAACAACAGTTCTACCGATATTGTAATGCTCGAAGCACTTTATTTAAGTCGAAAAATTGAAAACAAAGAAAATTTTATATTTTTTTGTAAGAACGTGGTCGTGTCAAACAACGAACAATTTCTCAGAAATAAAAAAGGCTCAATTTTGGTATATGTATTTATCAATATGAATCTAGTAATATTTTTCGAGGGTGTCAGATTGATTTTTGAATAGTTTACGAAAATGAACATGGGTTATATAAGCATTATACTATATGACAATTCTATTTTTCATAATTTTAGTTCTTAAAACTCAAAAACCGCAAAATTTTTGAGTCGAATTACCTCTTGAAAAACTTTTTTTACACTAACAGAAACTAAAAAAATTCAATGGATACGCCACCAGAAGATGAAATGAAAGACGTTGTTGAGGTGTATCCACAGTATATCATAAGCCTTGATGACTATGTTAAAATAAAGACAATAGGAAAAGGAGGTTACGCTGAAGTTTGGTTAGTTTCATATAAAGGAACAGAAAAGCAAATGGCATTGAAACAACTATTTTCAGACATATCTTCAAAACAAGTACATCATTTCGCAAGAGAAATCGCAACAATGGCAAAAGCAAATCATCCATATTTCGTTAAATTTATGGGATTCTCTCCTTACAGGCCAATGTCTCTCTTAACAGAATACATGCCCAACGGTTCCTTGTACAGATTTATTCGCCAAGATCCAAAAGGAAAAATTTTGAATGGAACTCGACGAACTATTATCGCAATGGGCATTGCATCTGCAATGGCTACATTACATTCCATGTCAATTATTCATCGAGACTTAAAATCAATGAATATCCTTCTCGATTCAGAATTTTATCCGAGAATTTGCGATTTTGGTATTGCAAGGTTTAATCAAAACGATGAAAAACTCACAATGAGACTTGGTACACCCCATTGGATGGCTCCAGAATCATTATATGGCGAAGGTTATGGTTTTCCTGTAGATGTGTATTCGTTTGCGATGGTTTTATACGAATTACTTACATTTAAGCTTCCATGGGCAGGAATGGATGCTCTTGCTGTTACACGTGCTGTCGTTATCGAGAAAAAACGTCCGATTTTACCGAAATGTCCAGCACCTCTCAAAAACCTTATTTGCAGATGCTGGGATCAAGATCCAAACCAACGACCAACTTTTGCGGAAATTTACAGACTTTTTGCCACAGGAAAAGTATATTTCGAATCAACAAACAAATCTGAGATATTAGCAATGCACGAGAACCTAGTCTTACAAGGAGTTGAAACTCCATTCTCTAACGGTCCGAAATTCAAAAACGATAATAAAATTACAAAATCTCCAATTAAACATCATGGAGATATATCGAAGAACGATAAAAGTCCTTCATCAGATGATTCCAAGGATTTCCAGATCGAAATCGGCAAAGAAGAGTTTTTGTCAGATAATCGACTTGAAAAACACAACATTCCATCATTTAGCGAAAGCGATACACTCCCCAAGCAGCCAGACAAAAGGCGCAAGAGTAATTCAAAGATGGAAGACATTCCTGAAGACGAAACTCCAAATGAAAACGAAAACGACAATTTCGATGGATTATCGAACCTCAGATACAAGAGACAGACAAGTGCAGCTTATAAGTTGCAAGTAAATGAAGATTCCTTCCAAATTCCAATAGAAATCTTGTCAGATCTGAAACATCCAGAATTCCGAAAGACTTTCTCAGAATGCGTTGCTAATATTGCTCCAAATAATGTAAGATCATTTTTCTCAACGATTGCGCCTCATTTTAACAAAAACACTTCAGATTCAGATTTTGAGTTCATTTTAACGAGCCTACACCCTGTTTTCAATAATCCGTATGCCATAGATATATTCCAGCGTAAAGGGCTCCACAACAAACTGCCTCTAGAACGAGATTCTCTTTTGCAAACGAATTTTGACTTCTTATACGTATTGTTTTCGAAGAATCCGACCATTTTCCAGAACAACTGGGAATCGAACATGGAGTATCTGATAAGCAGAGATGCCAACTCTTCTTTGGTATTATTACAATTTTGCGCCAAGAAGATCTCAACGTTCCCCAACCCATGGAGCCTGCCTGACCTCCTGTTCAACTGCTCGGAATACTTCTTCACGTGCCGTTCTCTTGCGGAATACATTTCAACCATATTTTATCTTTGCCAAACACACAAGGAATACAGCGACGCGCGCTTGAATACTGCTATCGATGTCTTCATGCAATGTTTGCAATCTTCAGATCCACGTGTTCTCTCTGTTTGTTACAATGCTCTTTCATTTTATCGTCCAAAATTGTCACTTTTTGACATTGGTTTACTTTCCAGTCATCTCCAAGACGAGCAGTTATCTCCTCGCATCCTTCCATTGTTTCTTGCCGCTGAAACTCTTCCCGCACAGCAAGATCTCGCTGAAGCACTTTTAATTAGCGCGCAAACGAACGAAACTGCTTGTTTGGTGCTTGTCAAAGCTTGTGATGACGAACAGTTCGCCAATCTCTTGTCATCCAACACTTGGTGGGTCCCCGAACATCTTCCAACGATTTTAGACACTTTGAGAATTTTTATTTCAGTTATGTGTCATAAATCATCGCGAGAATCATTGGCAGCTGCTCATGGAACATATAAGATGTTCATAGACCTCGTACAAGAAGGAGATCCGAAAGTTATGCCATTCATTTCTTCAGTTGTAAGAAGATTTCCACGTAAAAAAGGTGTGTTGAAGAGGATGTCGAAAAGTGGATGTTTGAAGCAAATCATTGAGTCTGCAATCGATATGGATGATGAATCAGCAACGCACGCAATGTTGTTGATGGTTAAATTCCTATCAGATATCGGAGACTGCCAAGAATTCGCTCTTTTGCCAAGTTTGTTGAGATATCAGTTGAAAATTAATGGAAAAAGTGCAATGATTTCTCTCTATTTGATCTCTAGACTGTGTTCTTATAAGTTGTGCGCGGAAAAGCTCGGAGATTCCAAGCTCCAGAAGTATTTCAGGAAACTGTTAAATGACGAGGATTACAAGCCTTATGCTCAAGATTATTTTGCTAATCTTGAGAAATTCGCCAAATAATTTTTATGTGTAATTTATATTTGTATTAAGGGTGCACCCGCATGTACGTTTATTTGAGAGTAGGAGGATTACCCTCTCAATTTTGAATGCTTCGTTAGCGCAATATCTCGATGAATATTGTATTAAAATTGAATTTGCCCATACCAATATATCTGATACAATATCCTTAAGTTTTACTAAAAAGAATTTTTTAAAATCCCTGCAGATTCGGGGATTTTTAAATTTTTTGATTTTTTTCGAAAATTTTTCAAAAAAAAATATTTTCAGAAGAGCCTTAACGGCTAGAGATGTGAAAACTTAAATTTTATAATCCCTGGGATGCACTTTCTTCGTTTTTTTTAAATTTTTGGGATAAATTTTGACATCTTTTTTTTTGCTGGCGACCCCCCCCCCGTTTAGGGCATCAAAAAAACATGTTGTTTCGTTTCAAGATCGGGATATGTTGTGAACCCGACTTCTTTCATTAATGAAGTGATTTCTTAAGTTGAATAAAAACAAATTTGATTGAAATTCATACAAAATTTCTTTTTATCATTATTATTTAAGATGCTTTTTTATGTTGAATTGTTAATTTTTTTATTTCCACCTGGGATATTTTGAATTGGGCTAGCCCAATCCCACCTCTCAATTTTCTCTCAATTGGGCAATGGGGATCCCATATAAAATGTATTGTAACAAAATTTTACATGCATAATATAGTACAATTAAACAACATTCTAAAAATATTAAATTCACATCATTTACTTGAAGATTTTATATTTTCAACAAAAATTAATACAATAATTACATTAAATTGAGGAGATTTATAATATTTATTATAAATTAAAATATTATTACTCATTAATTTGTTGAAATATTGCATTTTAGTGGTAAAAATTAAAATTTAAGTTTACATGGAGAAAAAAAATTTTTAAATTCCAAAAAAAAATTCAATTGGGATAACGATAGGGACAAAAATTTAGAATCCCCATATGCTTGGGATATAAAATTGAGAGGTGGGATTGGGCTAGCCCAATTCAAAATATCCCAGGTGGAAATAAAAAAATTAACAATTCAACATAAAAAAGCATCTTAAATAATAATGATAAAAAGAAATTTTGTATGAATTTCAATCAAATTTGTTTTTATTCAACTTAAGAAATCACTTCATTAATGAAAGAAGTCGGGTTCACAACATATCCCGATCTTGAAACGAAACAACATGTTTTTTTGATGCCCTAAACGGGGGGGTCGCCAGCAAAAAAAAAGATGTCAAAATTTATCCCAAAAATTTAAAAAAAACGAAGAAAGTGCATCCCAGGGATTATAAAATTTAAGTTTTCACATCTCTAACTTAACGGCTAAGTTTTATGTTTAATGTTGAGTATCAAAAAGAATGGGCATCTGATATAGCCATCATATATCCCAGAAGCAAATAAAAATTCTGACTTTTTAAGCATAAAAAATGAAATTTTATTTTTTGCAAAAAACAGGCCCCCCGGATGTACGTTTATTTGAGAGGAGGAGGATTAAATTTTTGAAAGCACTAAAATTTGTAAATATTCTAGTTATATAATAATATGTATTATTTTAAAAAATAAAAAATTAAAGCACGTTAAACTCTTTTTTGATGAATTTTTACAAAAGCTACTTAGGATTATGCAAAATATAGTAATTAAACATAAATTTCAAATCAGATTTTACTTATAATAAATATTTTAAATTTCCGAAAATTAAGTTCAGATCGACTCGATACGTTGTAATTACTAAATAAGGTGCCAAAAACCTATTAAACAGTATCAAAACTATCAAGATTGTAATGTTTTTGAAGAAAAATTTATAGAATTATGAACTTCAAACAGATATTATGTAAATAAAAATAATATAATGGATTTGTTTATTCGTATAATAGCAGTAATAAGTCGATTATTCACTTCTACTTCTGATATTTGAATTTAATTTCGACAGAAAAAGAGATTCAAGAGGAAAATACTAGGGGATACAAACAGCCACCATGACAGGATTATTATGGAGCCAAGTTGTATTTTTTGATATTTTTAGAGTTTTCCTACCTATTTAGGTACCAAGTTATTGCTTAAAAATTAAGGTTCTAAATTCTGAAGTTTACATGATCCTCCCGGGCGCACCCTTAATGTTGTTGTTGTTTTCGTTATAAATTATGTTTTGTATATTAACTTATAATTAAATGTATTTTGGTATTACACCACATCTCAATGAAGTAAGATATTCTGTTTCATAACAATGCGCATGAAGCTTGACTTGTCTTTAATTGCATTTGAAACAAAATACATTGCAATCTATGCTTACAAAGGATGAATCGTTGGTTTTGTATGAAAAATCAAATAACTAATAAATGGAATTCTTTCTAAATAAAATGTATGTTCGATCTTTGAGATCCATATGAATGATTCAAGCTTCGAACATATTATTTGTATCTTTGTTCAATTAAATGCATGTGATATTCAAAAATGCTTATGGCTGTGAGACTTTTCCATTTCACAATCTAAGCTTATTTTTAGACTGGTGATATGTATAAACAATATGAAAACAATGTTTTGGAAGTAAGAAGATTATTAAACTTATTAATGCACCTTTTTGAAATGTTTTCTTTTAAGATTTAATTTGTTATTGGAAAATGACAAGCATTAATGTTAAGATTTCTAGTTATCCATTATGATGTGTTTTGGTTATGAGGAATTTCTCCTCAAGCTATTAGAAAGTTGTAATAACACTGTAATTATTTTGAAAATTTGATTCCATTGATCGTTAACGAAAATGTTGACAATATTTATGGATCCTGTAATATTTTATAATGATTTCTCTTGAAAATACGAACAGATCATTAATTCTTAACTAAAATTCAAAATTTGATTTAAAATCAATCCGTTAATTTGGGATAATTATATAATTTCCATGATATATATTGACATTTTGATATCAAATATGTAAACTTTTGATAGTTTCACCACGAAGAATCACGCAAATTACAGATTTCATCATAAAATCAAAATAATTATATGATTAATATCCGTCAATAATAAAGATGAATTATTTTACATCTGTTCTCAATGAAATTATGTTATCATCCCTCAACTATCACTTTTTCGATTATCCAATAGATTTAAAAAATTTTATTCAACCAATATAGCATCATGTTTTTAAATGATTGGAGAATTGGTTACATAATTGAGACCAGATCGTTGAAAATATTCAATTTTGATTATTGGAAATAATTTTTCATGGATAAGTATTGAAAATGACATTAAATTTATGTGTTATTTATTATTTTTATATGAATGAAAGAGGCTATTATGGAAAAAGACCTGATACTTTTTGTTTCTAATGATTATTTAGAAATATAAATCTATAATGGACAAGTAAAAATAGTTAATAATTCCGAAGATGATTTAGTTCTCAATTCAACGTTATCAAAAATTGAATGAATTATATTTCGGAATTTATCAATTTTCATAAACTGCAAATTTGTATAGTAAATATTATATATCATAACTTCAAGAAAGATACCGAAAGGTACATTCACTAGGCGATAACAGTAAAATGGGATGAAAATAAGATAAATAGCATCCCTATATAGTGCCTAACAATATTTATACGGGCCAAAAAAATTTGGCTAGAGATTTGGCGAGCTATAAAACTTAGAAAATTGAGAGGGATTTTTGTTTTTGAATTTTTTTTGGAAAGTTAAAATTGCGATTAAAAATCGATTTCCAGGAGAACTAAGCATCTCATCATATATTTAAATCGCTAAAAATATTAAATAATAGTTGAATAGTATAACAACGTGAAATTATGGCTGAATCTACAGAAAAAATGAACATATTTGACATTTTTGAAAATTCATACGTTAGATGGTGACAGACTCATAAACTATACTTTAGCTAAGATTGATATATGGTTTCAACAACACATGGTTAAAATCGTAAAAATATTTTAGATTTCAAAAAGATATATATGGTAATATAATGGAACAAAGTCAACAAATAGCATGTTAAATATGTTATAATTAACTTTTTATTAGATCCAATAGTAGATATCGAATGGTTTCCAGCTTTATGGTTAAATATTTTCTTTTCGAGCTTCTCTTTAACTGTTGTATTAAGGTTGTAAATTTTTGATGCTAGAAACTATGGAATCTTCTTTGCTGCTGCATTTTTCTTGAGAGTTCTTGCAATTTCGAATAGATCTGCGCATTGTATGAAATGGAGGCTTTAAAATATCTTGAAAACAGAATAGGACTGCTTTTCCAAAGGAATGCTTACTTGTAAATCAGAGAGTTTCAAAATTGACAGCAAGATTATCATCATAACTTTCGATTTTGCTGCGAAAAAGGAAGACAAGTAATTAACAAATCATTTACTGTTGTTCATCAAAAGAAGAAAACTTTGATAACAACTAATGATGATAAAATCAAGCTATCTTTTAATATTTTAAATTGATAAGACATTCAAAATATTTGAATGGTTTAAAATATTTTCTTTTAATTTCTATAAGATATTATCATGATTATATAATAAAATTTAAATTTTTATTCAAAAGGGCAATATTTCAAACTTTTAATTTCAAAAATCTTAATTCTGCAATAAGTGTATTTAATTGTAGCAAATTTAATGATCCTTCGTCATGCTTAGCAATTTGGAACTCATAAATTAATGATTTCTTCAAGTAAAATTCTGCATTATTTCAAAAGTCAATAATTCTCTAGTAACTTTTCTTCAAACCCTAACCATTATATTATATGTATAATGGAGAATAATTGCAAAGAAAGATAGCCGAATTTACTGGGTAGTTCTTGTGATGCGAAATAATTGCAAATTAACACCTAGTTTTAACAGCATCACTCTCTTTTTGCTCTCATTTAAATGCATTCGCACACTTTAATTTTGAAATATAAGAGTTTTGGAAATTATCAAATTTATCTGCTCAAATACTATAGATCTTCATAAGTGTTAATAGAATCATTAGCCTTACATATAGTGTTTAATATAATGATGCACATTATACTGGGATTCATTCCTTATTCATCTAGTTATTATAAGATTTACAACCCCATGAAAATTTAAAATTTTGTCAAAAATAGTGAATGTACCTTTAGATACCGACAGATAAAATAACTGCCACTTTGAATGCAATTCCATGAATGAATATTAAAGTTAGGCATTTTGGAGAGAACAAGATTTGCTTGGAACTAAGTGAGCTGAATCTTAACTATCTTTTGAAAATCGAAGGAAAAATTAACGAATTTTAAATTATCGCATTTATTCACACACAACAAGCAGATATTTATACCCATAAATTGTCCAATAAAGAATCTATATCGAAGTTTTTGGAATCAAACAATTGATCAAAAACGGAATTAAAATCGCCAATGGGTTGATCTCCAGGAGAACTTTGTTCAACGATATCTTCTGATTTTTCAACTATCTGTTTCATCTCTTTGTTTGCCTTCTTTGATTGAATAGAACCTGACTTCTTTTTGCTATAATAGTTTGATTCTGGAACGCATTGTTTTCTTTGGAGCTTAAGTAAACGGTTCCTGACAGAATTTGTTGACCTGTTATCTAAGTAATCTGCAATGATTTTCCAATGGGGACCAACTTGTAAATATTTTTTAATTAATTTTTGATCTTCTTCATCTGTCCAGGCTTCTTGATTAAGTTTAGGGTCCAGATAGTTAAACCATCTATCTCTGCATTGCCTGGCAGTCTTCCCTGGAATTAATGCTGCCTTTTGCTCCCATTGCGAAGCGCCATACCTTTGGACGAGTTCTTTTAAAGTATTATCTTGTTCTATGCTAAACTTAACTTTAGCACATATTTTTTGCAGGCTATTATCATCATAAGATGACATTCTTTCAAATAGAAAGATAAAAATTGAATTGCAATTTTAAAAACAGTTTAATTGAAAAAAAAAGCAAATCAAGTTAGATATATGCTGTGTATTTATTAATTTTAAATAATGATGAAATTGAATTTCTAAGAAAAATTTGCGAGGTTGATCATCAACATGGAAAAAATATTCAGATTATGTGTCATATTAGTATCATTATGCAACAGTTTGATTAGGAGAATTCTGAAAAAAATAAAAAATTCATCGAATAGGAATGTCAAACAAGCTAATGAAATATGTCGCCAAAGTTAAGATGTCAATTATTATTTGAATGACTGTGAATTTCAAATTGAAATGATTTCAAAAGATTGATGAATTTAAGGGTGCACACGAGAGGATCATGTAAACTTCAGAATTTAGAACCTTATTTTTAGGCATTATCTTGGCTACCTTATTTAGGCTCGAAAAGCAAAAAATATCAAAAAATACAACTTGACTCCATTATGACCCTTTCATGGAGGTAGTTTTTATCCGCTAGTATTTTCCCTTTGAATCTCTTTACAATTCGAAATCAAATTCAAATCTCAGTAGAAGAAAGGAAGAATCGACTTACTACGGTTGTAATACGAATAAATACATATATTTAATTATTTTTATTTACATAATAATTGTTTGAATCTCATATTCCATCAAATTTTTAAATAAAAACATTAAAATGTTGAAAATGTTCATATATTTTAATAGGGTTTTGGCACTTTATTGAGGAATTACTACATACATAGTCGAACTGAACTTGATATTTTGAAATTTAAATTATTTATCAAAATTAAAATTTAACTTGAAATTTATAATTATTTAGTCATATTTTGCATAATTCTAAGTAGATTTTGTAAAAAATCAAGAAAGAAAAATTTTAACGTGCTTTATTTTTTCTTTTTTTAATAATACATATTATTATATAATTAACATATTCATAATGTTTCACCCTTTCAAAAATATAATCCTCCTCCTCTCAAATAAACGTACATACAGGTGGCCTCTTTTTTCAAAAAATTAAAATTTCAAATTTTAAATTTGAAATTTTGGGCTCAAATATTAGAGATTTTTTCAACCTTCAACGATATATGTTGTCTATATCAGACCTCCTTTCTTTTTGATACTTAACATTGTTCCTAAATCTTAGCCGTTAAGGCTGTTCTGAAAATATTTTTTTTTTCGAAAAAATTCGAAAAAAATTCTTAAAATTCAAAAATCCCTTAATTCCTGAGGATTTTGGAAAAAAGTTTTTACATGAACATGTGTATATTATATGAAGTATATTGATAGGGTAAAAATCAAATTTTATTGCATATTCATCGAGAAAATAAACTAACGAATCCCTCAAAATTGAGAGGGTAATCCTCCTCTCAAATAAACGTACATACGGGTGCACCCTTAACCAATGTGAAATGAGAAAAGGAATTAATCTCTTGATATATCAACGAAATTGAGAAAAATGATTGGATTCGATTTGAAAACATTATCAAAAGAACCCAGAGAATATATATAGATAGTATATGAATATTTTTGAAAAAATTAACGTCAAAAACAACACTTCTGACATATCAGTTGACCAATTTTACTTATATATTGGATTCATTACGAGCATCCTATTAATGAATATAGTGAATAAAGCCGTTACTATTGAAAAGCGGATAATCGAAAGTATAAGTTTTGGAATATTGTTGAAATCAATGACTTAAACAAGAATATGTGTATTCGTGCATTTGTCTATGTATTTGAATCAAACCGTCGTCCAATACAACACAGATCACTTTCATATTAAATTTTATTCATTAATACATTTACAGTAAATGATCTAACCTCAAAAAAATATTATCGTTTGATTCTTTAACATTTAATCGGTTTAATTCAAATTGCATCCATCAAACCCAGTAAAACTACTTGATATTATATCATTCCTTCTATTTTTAAATTATAAAAATTGAGTATAGTTCTCAATTCCAACCCAATTATATTGAATTTTTTCACAGTAAGCGGTTTTTCTCAAAATTTTAATTATTTACTCAACCGATTTATGACCATTATTATTCGATATTTTCGTTTAAAAATGAATTTTTCATGGTGTACCATACTAGAAAGTTAAAATATTGCTTCAATTATCAAGCATTTTAAAATATAATATTGTTTTTCTTTATCCCGAACTTTAAAAATGACATTATTACGGCATCGTAGTAGTTTCATCTATTTCATCATAAATATCATTTTCATTATTTATTTTTCAAATCAAAAAAATCATATTGATAATTTCAAGCAATTATTAACACTTTAATTTATGAATCAATAATTGATTTGGTTCCTAATCCTTCATTTAATTTATACTGTTGTTTTTTCAATTATCAAAAATCTTTTTGAGTTGCCATAATAAATTATTTTACATCAATCAATTTGAATGAAAATAGATCAATTTTATTATCATTTTAAAGATAATTCATATAAAAAATAAGTAGTAGGATAGGATGGGTTTTGTGACTTTTTTTGTAAACGTAAGAATTCATACAATATCGAGCGATTTTGTATCATTTTTTTAACATATTAATTAAAAAACATATGATTCTTACGGTTTTATTCTTACGTTTTTGAATAAATCAAGATTTAAAAAATTTTCAAAATTGTAAGACATTTACACTCAGCCCATACATAATGAAATAAAAAATAAAAATATATTTATTTATAAACCATTAAAAAAATTAAAGTTAATTTTTTATTCTTACATAAATGACCCAACAAGTAAAACCAGATAAAATAGATTATCGAATTTTAGAGGATGGTGTTCCTGTTTATATTCAAAGATTTAAAGGGAAGCAATATTATAGAATTGTTAATCCTGAATACATAAAACATTTATTTAAAAAGGAAGACTGTGAATTATTAAACGTTAATGAATATGAAACCAATAAATCAAAATTGAAATATAAATATATTGGAAGTGATGAAAGATGCAAAGATAAAGATAAAGTTTATACAGTTTCATATAATGAATGGAAAACCAATAAGATAAGAAAACATTTAGGAGATTATGGTAAAAGTTCTGAATTCTTTAAATCTAGTATGTATGAGAGAGTAAAAGAAATTAGAAATAATTATTTTCATGAATAAAAAATAAACTTTAAAAAATAAACGAGAAGAAGAAATTTGATGAGTTCAACATAGAACTTTAAGAAACTAATGATTATTTGAATTTATGAAATCAATTATTTGATTCATTCTTTCTTCAATCTCTTCTATTCTTTTTGTTAAATCATCAATTTTCATTAATGAGGTGATTCTTGATTGAGGAATAGATTTCAAACTAATCACCCCTTTTATTTTTGAAATTTTGAATCCATCAACTTTAAACATTTTATTCAATTTACACGTTGTCAATTCTTCAAATAATTTTTTATTGTTAGCATAATAGTCATTAAATTCTTCAACAGATGAAAAAATTTTTATTTCAGTAATTGGTTTAACAACGTTTATTTTTTGTTGAACATTTTCACTTTCATTTATTTCTTCCTCCTCTGTTTCATTTATTTTTAAAATCGGTTTCATTTATCATTAAATAAAAATTAGAATATAAGTGATGAAATATATTTTTTAATTAATATTAAATCAGAAATGGCTGCAGGATTCTTTAAAAAATTATGGGATGGAATTAAGAAAGCTGCAGGTTGGGTTTATAAAAAGATTATTAAACCCGTTGCAAACTTTTTGGCACCAGTAGCGAAAACGGCAGGAACTATCATAGGTGGAGTATTAGGTACTAAAGCAGGTAATCCGGCGATGGGAGCACAAGCAGGTAACGCATTGGTGGAATTGCTGAAGGAATACTTAATAAAATAGGAGGTAGATAGTGGAAAAATAAATATTAAATTATTTTTATCTTAGTATCGGTTGAAGTCTTTGATAAACTTTTTCTCCTTTATTTAAAACTTCTCTTATTGGGGCAGCTTTTGGCGTTATTGATTCAGCAACGTCACTAATTGCTTCTTTATTCTTAAATATCCAATTTGCTCCTTTCTTCATTGTTTCCCAAACTTTATGCGCTCCTCTTTTTACTTTATTCCACAGTTTCTTAAATATACCTGCAGCCATAGTTGATTATTTCATTAAAATTAAAAATTCATTTTCATCTTTTAATTTTGATTTTTTATTTATTAATAAATGACGACTAACTATTTAGTGCCAAACACTAAACCGATTAATGGAAATGTGTTTCATTCATTCGAAAAGATAAATGAAATATTCGCAAAGAATGACGGTAGAAGATATTATAGAGAACTTGAAAGTTCATGCTATGACTCTGATGCTCCATATTTTGATGATAAACAAACTCATTTAAGAATTACAAATCCAGCTCATGATGTGAACCAATTAGGTGACACATATATTAAACGCAAAGTTAAAGCAACTCTAGTTTCAAATAAAGCTTTCACATGTGATGCCGCTTTTAAATGCATGCGTTTATTCGTTGGTTACAAATCATCAAATCAAAGCTTTAAACAATTAGAAGTAGAAACGAAAGAGGTGATGCCGGTTATCTTCAGATGGATTGCGCCCGTGAATCTTTCGCATTTGCAACATATAAACCAAAATCAGAAAGGAAAGTTAAAAAGTTTGTTCATTCGTTATATAATAATGTTCAAAAATATGATAACTCAGTATGTGGTAAATATATTGACCCTTCAGAAGTTTTCAAGAAAGCAAATGAAGAAGTTGATATCACTTTTGATATGATTATTCCGGTAAATGATTTGTTAGCATTTCAGGCGTTCGATGATTATCCTAAATCATTTGGTGATATCATTCTTAAATATTATGTTTTCAGGGATACTTTAGTATTTTGTCAGGTTGACCCGTTAAGAGTTGCTGATTTACAAAATTACGTTTATGAAAAGATAACTGATGAAAATTATGAAAAGATTATGAATCATGTTTATAAATATGATCGCAAATTCCAACAAATCGGACTTCCTGCCAAATTAATTACAAGCTTAGCCGCTACATCTGCTGACGCAACAGTTGATGACGTTATTATTTCATGCACAAAGATGGAAGTTTTAGAGGATAAATGCATTACACCAGGATACGGTTTAATTGAAGAATCAGTTAAAGCAATACCACGTTTATTCAGTAAGGAAGATCCATTCATGATTCCAGCTCAACATATTGACGTTCGTTCACTAAATGGAGGTTGCATCACTCCTGAAGGTATCAGCTCAGATTTCTCATACGCTCTTCATAATGTTACAGATGTTGTGTTAACATTTCCGAAGAATGCAATGCAAAGAACAGTTTTAGAAAATCCAATGCTTCGAGGTCTTCAGGTCACTATAGATTCCAGAAACTTCCCCGATCAAGCGATGACCACAGTGGGTGACATATTCTTTACACGTATGCTTCAAGCTTCTGATTTAGATGGAGTGAATGAATGCACGGAAGAATACGAGGACTCATTAACTAGACCACTGAATGATGATAATGGCACGCCATTAGCTAGAACATGGAAAGACCAAACTTCATTCTTATGCACTATTCCAGTTCAACGTGATGGAGCGGGTATATTCTTTGATGGATTAGAAACTTTCAACTCACAAGTTACAGTACAAGTGAAAGCTTATCCAATCATTCAGGGTGAAAATGACACTTACTGTTCAAAGGTGACAAATCCTCCTCAGGTTTGGTTTACTAGGACTACATATTGGACATGGACACCGGATGAAGGTTTGAAATATCATCCAACAGGTACACCACCACAGTATAGAAGTTCATATGATGAAATATTGATGAATAGAAATGTTTAAAATTATAAATTTATTTTTGATTAAATGGATTTAAATTCATCCACCCCTTATGAAGAATTAGGGAGTATATAATACATACGTAGATGATATGATTAATGAAGCATTGAGTGATAATAGAAATGCTCTATCTAAGGAAAAATTAATGAAAATTCCATATTCTGAATGTTACTTAAATTCAATCACTGCAGCAATTGGTAAACAAAATAAAGGTAAAACATTAACGATATTAAAACAAATTATCATTATTGCTAACACTTCCCCCATTCACATGTGTTAATTTATATCAACCGTTCAGGTTCACCTTCAGATGATACATTTGAATCTTTAAAGCATTTAATCAAAATTCCAATTATTTATTTATCACAAGAAGAAGCAGAAGATTATTTAAAAAACTTTTTAATGTATAAAGAATTATATAATACAATCAAGAAGCAAGGATTAGAGGATAAAATTATTGATAAACAACGGGATGAATTATTTGAAACACTTTCTATTTCAAATTTTGATAGAGAATTTTTGCATTCACTCATTTTTCTAGATGATGCAGTGAAATCAAAACTAATAACAAATGAGAAATCATATTTTAATCAGTTATTAACTCAATGTCGACACATTCAGTGTTCATTCTTTATGGCTGTTCAATACTTCAAAGCATTAAGCACAAACATTAAATCAAATCTATCAACACTTTTCATTTTCAGTGGGTTTAGTCGTCAACAGTTGAACGTTATGCTTTATCAAGTGAATTTACCAATGAGCATTAATGAACTTTACACACAATATCAGCAATTAGGTGAACATGGAAAAATAATAGTTGATTTAAATAAAGGAAGTGTTAAATTTGATTAACTTTTTATAATTAATTTTTATTTTTTATTTATAATTAAACATGACAGAAATGGCAAATCTTCTACAGGTTCCATTAAAACAAGGGACAAACAAAAAGGGTGCATATAATAGAACTATGAAAGTTCCTGATGGAATGAAAGAATTAGTTCATATTGTTGCTGGTCTTCAAAAAGATGTTAAACAAATGAGAAACGTTTTAACATTACCAGAAGCTCAAGCATATGCCAAACGTCAAGGTCCAAATTGGGAAGCACACGAAGCAGACATTACGGGTCCAAATGGAAAACCTGATGGTATAAATGAAGTTTTCGTTACTGATGGTCAAGGTAATATTAAAGTCATAAATGGTTATAAATTAACTATATCTGATTATCCTAAACGTAAAGCATATAATGAACGTTATCCTATGCAATTTGATGAAAATGGAAAAGCTGTTAAACAATACATTGGAGAAGGTGAAAATGGTCCAATTAATTCATACCGTCATAATCCATATTCTTATTTCAATGAAGAATTAAATGCTATTGAAGAGGGACCGGATGGATTACCACGATATTCTAACCAGTTTGATGGTCAATATGCAAATATTAGACCTGAAATTTCAGCTAAGAAATTCTTTAAAGTTGCTTTATTCGATCCAGTTTTCGCAAATGTTAAAGATGAACTTAAACAGCAATTCCAACCAATTATAGTAGCAAGAATTGCATCAGGTGCTTTATCTCAAGCATTCAAAGATTTAATTAAGAAACCATTATATCAGCAACGAGGTTTAACTTATGATTTAGTTAAGGAATCAGATAAAAGAAAATTTGAGAAATCAGATGATTATAAGAATGCAATTAATGAATATATTCGGTCTATTAATTTCGATGAAACAGCTAAAAATCAACTTCATGAACAAATACAGGGAATAATAGATTCAAAAGTTCCAGCAAAATAAAAGTTTAAATATATTTTTTTATTCGAATATAAATGAGAAGACGTTTCACTAGTCAAAAGAACACTAACGCAAAAGCAGAGATTACGGTTGGTTATAACGTAAATGATGATAAATCACGAATTATTCAAAATGTTAAAGTTAATGTTAGCCCTGAATTAACAAGGTCAGCAACTCAACCAAATTTATTAACTCGTGACTTACCGAAAAAGGAGGAGGAGCAAAATAAAGAAGATGGAGACCCAATCATTTTATCTGAACCGGTAAAGAACCTGTTGAAATTCCCACTTATCCAACATACCCCCCACCTCTTTCATCAAACATCGAGAACCCATATAAAATAGACATTAATTCTGAATTAATGAAAATTTACCGTGATATAATAATTAATAATTATGATTCAATAATAAATTTAATTGACCAATCCGGTTTAATTATTTTACCTTATGAATCATTAATTCACATTATCGCCATTCTTTGTGATGTTCAAGATTCAGACGTTAAGATTCAATTTTTCATAGATGATGAGGTTTCATGCTGCGGAACAGTTGCAAAAATAAATCCTATAAAGGATATTAGCACAATTAAGATATCAAAGAACGGAACAACAACTGAACTTCATTTAACATATAATGATATTTATAATAAAATAGTTGATGAATATAAAATATCACTTGAAAAATTCTTTGTTAAGGCTATTTAATATTCAAGCATTAACATTATCGAATAATAATCCTTTGAATCATAATCAATAATAATTGACCTTTCACCAGTTTCTATCGTTTGTTTTATTTCTTTTTGTTCCCCACTATCTGGATCGGTCATTGTAATTGTTTTTGTTATAGTATCAGCTTTATCTTTAACTTCAATCTTTTTTCCATCGGGATATTTAAACCAAAATTCCAAAAATTCGATATTGTCAATCTGTTCATATTTTAATCTATCAATTACATTTTTAATACCATCTGAAAATCTTATGAAATGGTCATTATATGGGTTTGATTGAACTAAATTTGAATGAAGTGAAATATAACCTGTTGATGAATATGACATTGACTCATATTTTCTGAAAACACTAAAATTTATAACATGAATGAATTTCTTATTCGTTGAATTTATGAATTCTTGAGGTAATCTTATTCTAGTTTTATTTATCACTGGAAAATAACGCTTTACCATATTTTTAATCGTAAAAAAATGTCAATTATCAATATTATTTCGAATAATAGCTGTGAATTAAATTTAACAGTTAGCGGAATTTATAATGTTACTCTCGTTTCTGTGAGTGGTAAATTTAATCCCATTCTTTTAGACCCTTCAGATTATATATCATTTATTAAAGATGACCTTGAAAAAACGTATGATATGTATATAAATAATGTGATAGCGAAATGGGATATTAACATGATTTTAAGTTATTTAAATGAATCATTTATCGTATGGTATGAAGAAAATTTTAAATCAAAACCCGATAAACTTTTTGAACTTGATGAAATAAATAACCTTATTAAATTTCCGCTGAAAATTAAATTTTGTACTCCTCATCTTCGTTCATTGTTGGGGATATTAAATTTTGAAAAAGATGTTGGGGATGTTTTGTATTCTGACACTGGTTCCAATTTCATTTTAATCAAATGTGATAAAGTTAATACCCCAATGAGATTTTCACATCAAACATTAGACCCTAACTCTTACCCATCAATACAAAACATTTTATCCATCAACTTAAACACATTTTCTTTATCATATCCGTTTCAATTATCCGGGAATTCATTTATTCTTCATTCAAAAGATTTATCAAATATTAAATTTAGAATAACTGACCTATTTGATTGTGATTTAGAATTTATGAATGAAATATTATGGCAATTTCAAATAGAGAAAATAGCCGATGAGATAACGGATTAAATATTTATTTTTAAATCATAATAAATGATTAAACCACAGCAACTTAAGGCACACACCCCGCCTTATCCTACTACTACCATTACATACGCCATATATGCATATAATTCAAAGACGGCAGAACAAACGCAAAGGTTGAAATATGGAGATTTGGAGATAGTATTGAAAAATGACCATTTCGAATTCGTTTGCAAAGGTGGTGCAGTGATATCAAATATAAAAGAAATTTTATTTATGAATTCAAAAATTAAAGGAATAACGGATGATATAACATCAATTCCACCAGAAGAACAGAGATATTACGCATTAAATGCATTTCCTAAAGTTTTGAAGATTGGAAGATTTAATTTAAATGAGGAATTCATAGAAGGTTTCCTAAATGACATAATGAAGAGGGTGGATAAGGAATATGTGGATAGTGAATTAAATAAGAAGGCAAATTTGGTTTATGTTGATGAAAAAGATAATGAAATTAAAGAAAAGGTTGAATGGTATCATGAATGGACATCGGAGACTTTTAAAGTTAAAGCTGATACAGGATGGGTTTCAGGATGTTTAGACCTTAAAGCAGATAAAACATATGTTGATGAAAATTATGCAAAGAAGTCGGAAGTAAATGATGTGATTACAAGCATGAAAAATGAAATACTTCAAACATTATATCCTGTTGGTTCTATTTATACGTCAATGAACTCAACAAATCCATCAACAGTTTTAGGTTTTGGTATGTGGAAGCAGATTGTAGATAAATTCTTATACTGTGCTAGATATTCAAAGCAAACAGGAGGTTCGAAGAAAATTAAAGAAGCAAACCTTCCACCGCACACTCATACAGGAACTACAAACACAACAGGTAATCATTCACATTCAATAACAAAAAGAGGTTATATAAATCTTGCAGCGGGTTCGGATAGATGGGGAATGAATAGATATGATATCACAACTGACCCAGTAGATTCAAGCACAGGTATTTTCTGTGGAACCGCAGGAAATCATTCACACACTTTCACAACAAATCCAACAGGCTCGGGTAAAGATTACATGCCACCATTTGTGACTGTATTCGCATGGTACCGCGTTCAATGAATGTGCTTGAGCCCAGACTTTTGGGTCAAGGCTTACCGAATGAACTAAATATATTTTATGTCTGTAATTAATTAGGTAATGAAGTAATGGATGAACTGCAGAAATAAATGTTTACGTTAAGTGACTCAAAGAGTCCGGAGACAAAGTCTCATGTTTACGTTAATGGTTTTTAGGTTATTCAATAATTAATTATTTTTGAAGAACTGAAGGTGCTACCATGTTACCATATGCTACCAGGTTAATTAACTTCTCTTAAAATTACTGACAACACGACATTTTGACAACAGTCCTGGAAATTTGATGCAGTTCAAAAATAAAGTTAGTTTTAAAATTATTTTTATTTATTTTTTATTTTGTATGTAAGAACAGAAATGTCAGTCGAAGCAAAAACATTCACGAACAAATCTAATGGCGAAACATTCACAAAAGGCACTTATAACGGTATTGAAGTCTTACGTAGAGACAAGGATGGTTACATTAATGCAACAAATATGTGTCAGCAGTTTAGGAAAGACTTTAGAAAGTTGTTGGAAAATAAGTCCTGGGAAGAGTATTATAAGGCATTTTGTGAAGAATATAGCAACCGTCTGAATTCCGGCGGTTGCTTTTTATACAAAATTCATGCAGGAATTCCTGATGAAATCAAACAGGTTAGAGGAACGTATGTAGACCCAAGACTTATAAACTATATAGCAATGTGGGCTTCTCCAAAATATTGCATAGCAGTTGGAAAAATTATGGATTCCATAGACAAGAAAGTTCATGAGAAGTTAGATGAAGAAGAACTCGAAGATACAGTAGAGAATGCAAAACATTTGTTCGAACAAGAAGTTAGAAAAATGTGCGAAAAACAATTAGAACATGAACGTGAGTTATGTTATGGTTATAGAGATTCTCCATTCGAACTAGACCAATGGGAACAAGAAAATTTAAGGAGAGAATTTAGAGAATATGAACTCGCTAAGATAGCATTAGAAGCTGCAGAAAAGAAGTTAAAAGCTTGGGGTCGTTTTGTACAAAAATATTGTGAGTAAATGAACCATTTATTTTTGTCATAAAGACGCAACGTGGCGGGGCATAGCCCATGACCAAAAATATATTTTATCGTTAATGTTTTTAGGTTATTCAATAATTAATTATTTTTGAAGAACTGAAGGTGCTACCATGTTACCATGTGCTACCAGGTTAATTAACTTCTCTGAAAAAATGAGACAACATGACATTTAGACAACAGTCCAGGAAATTTGATGCAGTCCAAAAATAAAGTTAGTTTTAAAACTATTTTTATTTTTTTATTCCTATATAAATGACAGCAACAAACAACAACAGCAACTATATCGTTTCTGATGAAAAAGTTATTGATTCATTAGCTGAGGAATTAGTTGTGGCAGAAACTAAAACCCTCAACGAAAGAATTGGTGAAAACAAGATTGATTTACATAACTATCTCAAACATGATGGAGGAAGAGGAAGGAAAACTGGTATGGCTTTATTAGTAAATAAAATTTCGAATTTAACGATTATAGATGTTGATATCAATAAATCGTACAATGATGAACTTAAAGAAACGGTTAGAAAAGACATTTTATCAAAACTTTCGGATAAAGATGTTATCGTTAAAACCGCTTCAGGAGGTCTTCACATTTATTGCAACACTAATTTCTTCTATTCAGTTTCGAACAGAATGATTAAATGTTATTCCTGCAATGATTATGATATTGATATAATGACTTCTATTGATGATTCAAAACGTTCATTAGTGGTTATGGCTGATTCAAGAGTTCGAAAGAATGCAACAGAACCAATCAAAACATACTCATTCATTCGTGGAAGTTATGATTCAACATTAACTAGAACCGTAAACGATATATTAAATGATTTGAATATTAAGGTAAGAGTTGAACAGAAGAACGAAGAAATAAAGACTATCACGAATGAAAACAAAGATGTAAACATTGACGATAAACTTGCCCAGAGCATAGTTGATGGCATCTGTGATTTTGAAGTACATAATGACGGTGGAAACATGAATTTAGAAAAAGAAATAACATTATTCACACTGTTTCAAGCTATTAATTCGTTACCTAATCATTTAATTAATGAAGCATACGATAACGTTTATAACTTCTGCAGTTTAACAGAAAATGCAAAAAGTAATTTTGAAAAAGCACGTAGTAGATATGCACATTTAATGACTTCTCCATTTGTTTTAGTGAAGATTCTAAAACTATATCAAAAGGAATATTATGATGAATACGTTTTACCTTTATTACGTAAGCCAAAAATAACATTTGATATAAAACTTGATGACTCGTTTTTGATAACAGATATTAGACGCAAGGCTGAAAATCATCAGTATAAAAACAGTTCTGAAGTAATTGAGGATTTATCACGTGTAATCCGTTTTGTAGATTGTGGAAACAAATATTTCATTCAAAAGGACTATAATATCCACGATAAAATGAATCAAATATCATTCGTTCTTCAATCAAACATGAAAGAGTCACTTAAAATGATTAAATTATTTAAAGAAGAAGGTAAAACAATAACAGCATGGGACGTACTACTAAATCAATTGTCTTCATTAACTGTTAAGGGTGTTTGCTTTAAATCTGATTCCCCAGATGTTTTCTCAACGTTTCAGGGTTATAAATACAACATTCTCGAAAAGCCTGATTACTCAAAAATTGAGATGTTTATGGATTTCATTAAAGAAGCCATTTGTGATAATAATGATGAAGTGTATAAATACCTACTCGGCTGGATTGCATCAATGATTCAACATCCTGGAATCAAGAATGAAACAGCAATTATTTTGAAAGGACTTCAGGGAACAGGTAAAAACAGATTTACAGACATTATTTCTGAACTCCTCGCTGGTTATTCATGTAAAAACATTACTGAAATAAGTGAGCTAACGGGTAATTTCAATTCGGTTGTTGAAAATAAAATGTTTCTTGTACTTAATGAACTCAAGAATGTTGGTGAAGACAGACTCGCAAACTTCAACGCTTTGAAATCAATTATAACGGATAATGAGATAAGAATTAATGAAAAGAATCAACCCAGAAGAACTGCTCAGAACGTTGCAAACTTCATTTTCGTAACTAATAACGTTTACCCTGTCAAAATTGAAGTTGGAGACAGAAGATACGTAGTTTTAAGAGTTAATGGTAAATTCAAGGGTCAATTTGATTACTTCAAGAATTTAATGGATTCATGCACAAAGGAATTTTATGATAATTTACTAACATATTTTATGCAATATGACCTTTCATCATTTAATGTACGAATCATACCGATGACTGAAGCCAAACAAGATTTAATTGAATTATCAACAAATCCTTTAGATGTATGGATAAATACACATTATGATGAATTGTGTACAGGTATGACGTGTAAAAATGCTCTATTCTGCAAACCATCAGACATGAAAGACAAGAATTTCCAAATGAGCATTAAGGATAAATGTGATAGGAAACATAGAAGAATAGACGATAAACAAACATGGTGTTATGTTTTGAAAGAAGAAATGAAAGGATTATATAAACAGGTTGAACCAAACGATAATGAGGATTCATTTACTGACGATGAAATACCTGTAAATGATGCTTTATAAAGTATGATTGGAATTTATTTTTGCATTAATCCTGTGTTGTTGTCTAAATGTCATGTTGTCATCATTTTTAAACGAAGTTAATTAACCTGGTAGCACATGGTAACATGGTAGCACCTTCAGTTCTTCAAAAATAATTCATAAGTGCCTTCCTCCTTTCGTACCTGTTGTGTTGTCTAAATGTCATGTTGTCATCATTTTTAAAAGAAGTTAATTAACCTGGTAGCACATGGTAACATGGTAGCACCTTCAGTTCTTCAAAAATAAATTTTCTTATCATTCAAATTAACTAAAGATGAACTTAATAAAATGATGATAAAATAACTGATAACAAAATTTTATTTTTATATAAATGGATACCCCACAAGCTCAAAATTTACCACGAATCATAACAAGGAGGAAATGATAAAAATGATGCAAGAACTAATTAAAAACAACAAACCACGAAAACCGAGAAGATGCGGTTATGCAGTAATGATGGAAAGAAGAACCTAGAAGGGTTCGGGAAGAGGAATAAAAATTAAATTTGGATTGAGTTTAAAAATTCATATTTATTAAATTCATCTCTTCCAATCAATTTATTTATTCTATTAAATTCTTTTATTTTTGCTTCACTCAGTTTAAGGATTGAACGGTAAGTTTCTAATTTTTCGATTATTTCTTTCCTCTCTTCATCGTTTTCAGTTCCATTAGTTTTATGGGCATCAACCCCACCGCATTGCGGCTTCTTTTTGTAATAGCATATTTTTGATTTAATTCTGTTTAGTTTCTTTTTATATTCATTGTCTGGACTCTTGGCTGCTTTGTTGTCACTCATTTCTTACGAAATAAAAAAAATTAAATATTATTTAAATATAATGGAGTAATAAAATAAATCGGAATTTCTATTAATTTATTGTCAACTTCAACTAATGCATTGCCGTTAATATATCTAACAAATTCAGCTATTGTGTCAAATCTTCGTCTTCTTTTTGTCATTGATTTATCAGTTTTTCCATAATCGAGATGAATCAAAACTTTATCCCCTTGTTTAAAATTCATGAGCCCCGAATTAATTTGTTCACGTTTAACATCATTTAACCTTTCCATTTGCTTTCTAATATATTCCCATTCTTTTGAAATATCATTTTTCATTTCCACCGGTTTCATGTTTATAGTTCTATGCCATGTATTATTGTAATAATATACTAACTGTTGTATGATGGAGTCATGATTTCCATCCCAGTATATCTGACCGTTAACCCCTAACGCATCTCTAAGAGTTCTCATTACCGCATCAACTATTTTATTATGAAACGTATATGGAGAGGATGAAAAGAAAAAATTAATTTGTGGAAATAATGAGCCATAGCTGCCTGAAATCCTTTATCACCATCACCCCTGATATTATCTACTCTTTCATGATCTAGTAAGTATTGTATAGCTCTTCTTGTTTCCTGTTCTGTTTTCCCTTTCACTGGAATGCAATATAAATATCTAGTGTTAATGTTAATGGCAAATAAATAAGTAACGTTTCCTTTTGAATATTCCAGATGATCGATTTCGTATGAATATGGATATGGAGCAAATGAAGGGCGACTAAATTTTTCCTTTAATGGTTGAATTTTTGGGTCAATTGGTTTATTTAATATCTTGAAATCCTTTTTAAAATCTTTTTGCTTCTTTAATGTTTGAAATGGATATAATAAAGTGAATGATGAAGGATTAACTGAAGGAGGAGGCGGTACTGTCGTTGGAGGTTTTGGTGTTGCAAGTGGTTTAATTTTATCTGCTTTGATTTTGGATTTCATTCCTTCCTTCATTAATTCTGGATGTATTCTATTCATTTGTTTTAAATATGCTGTATATAAAGGTTTGATATACTTTCCCGCTTCGAGTTTATGTTGAAGGATGAATTCCAAAAGTTGATCTTCATTTAAAAGTCGGGCTGAATATGGTTTAACTAATGAATCATAAATTAAAGCTTGTGCATCATTTATGGTCTGAAGAACCTGGGTGTTTTGTTCCTTTAGCTGTTGAACATTTGCTACTTTAGACCTCGGCTTTGGTTTTTGTGGCTCAGGATTATATAAATTATATAATTCATCAATATCTTCTTCTGTTAATACTTTTTTTGAAATCTTTCAACTGTTTAAGTTGTGATTTAGTTTTTCCCTTTGTATATTCATTATTTTTAATTTTGTCTTTAATTTTAGAAATTATTCTATTATGATATTTCAAAATTTCATTTTTATAATATGGATAATAATAATCCATATCATCACCCGTTATATTGTTATTATATTTTTGGAGATATGATTTTAATTCATAATAACTAAGAAAATTTTGATTAAATACTAAATCATCAATTAAAATTTTTAAATCTGTGTTATCCATTTATATAAAAATAAAATAAGTGTTTTAAGGGTGCCCACCTCTTTGAATCATAGTATCAAAACCATTATTTACATATTGAATCGCATCATTAACGGTTCCTTTTGTCTCTTCTGTGGCATTTCATTAAAATTTTAAATTGTATTAAAAAAAAAAAAAAGGTAGTGGGGCTTCCAGGGGCTGCGCCCCTTCTAGCCCTGAAGATGTTTAGTATAAATGAAGTTTTTATTCGGAGGGCTTCCAGGCGCGTTGCGCCCTCTAGCCCATAAAAAATTTCTGAGGACGAGCCAGCCGTTGACTTTTTTGTAGAGCACTCAAAATAGTATAACTTTGTTCGGACAAGTAAGGGTCTATCGTCGCTACAGGAAAAGTTACGGGCGTTCCAAGGAAGTATACTTTGAGAAGCCTTTTCCCCCTTATAGAATGAGATAGGACGGTTATTTTACAAAACTGACAACACTTTGACCGAGTAGTTTTTTGTGCTGAACAAAAAGTGTCATATAAACATCTGTCAAAAACCGCTTTTTAACTTCACTTAAAATGCCACGTAAGCTACGTAAGAATATACGTAAGAGGAAGAGAGCATTGAAACATCCAATAGTAAAACTGACACCACAACAACAGTTGCAACAACAAATGCTGAATGACCCCACTATGTTGCAACAAATGTCAAGCAACCCTATGCTCTTAAACCGAGTTCTTGGTGCACAGAGTGGAGGTTTAAGAGCGGCACTTTTAGCGAAAATGGCAGGCTATGGTGGAGCTGCAGACGGAACAGCTTATAACCCTCAAAGTCAAATGAATTTGAGTTCACTCAAAAATCAAATAACAGATGTCAAAAGTCAAACATAGACATACAGAAACAAATAAGTGAAAACGAAAAGAAACTAGAATATGACAGACACACAAAGAAACTCAATGAGTTAAACGTAGAGAAAAAGAAGAAAGAAGAACAACTGAAAGAACTAAGTACAGAGGAATATGCGAAAAAAGTGTCAGAAAAAGCAGCAGAAGTAGCAAAAATGGAACAAGATGTTGTAAATTTGAAAAACCATACTACTCAATATAAAGTACTGAAAGATGAAGAGATAAAACAAAAAGCCCTGAAGACATATATGGATAGCGATGAGTATAAAAAAGAAGTTGAAGCAAATGTAAAGGCAGAAAAACTTTTACAGTTGCAAAACCAAACCGTACAGTATGAAAACTTAGCACAAGAAAGTAAAAATAACGACGCAGCCATGCAAAAGGCAATGAAAAGCGCAGAATATATAAAAGCTAACAATGACTGGTTAGATGCCCAAGCCAACGCTAAAGCAGCCCAGCTTATAGGGTCAATAAGGACAAAAATACAAGCGGATGAAGACAGTTCAAATGAAGCTTTAACAAATGCTGACTTTAAGAACGCCTTCGAAGCTCTTCATAGTAAGGTGAAACAAGTGAACGATTTCTCATCTGGAAAGAAACTGAAGTCTGAAGGTTTCGACAAAGAGTTAAGAGAAGTAGCACAAAATCTGACGAAAATAACAGATGCAACAACGAGACAGGCAGTTCAAAGTGCCTATGACGCCGTTAGAGCAACTGTTGTGGAAAGTCAAGAAAAAGAGTTACAACAGACCAAAACAGACCTAGTAAATGCTTTCTTAAAAACGAAAAGTCAGGTAGGACACTATGCTGCAGATGGAACATATGTGCCAGCTGGTGGAACTTATATACCAGCTGGTGGAACTTATATACTAGCTAGTGGAACTTATATACCACCAAACCCTCCAAGAGAAGCACCTGCACCAGGACTACCTAGAACATTTACATCGTCACATGGACACAGACACAGGCATGCACCAAAACCAACACAACAACCAACAGTTCAAAACCCTGCACAACAACAACCACAACCAACAGTTCAAAACCCTGCACAACAACAACCACAACCAACAGTTCAAAACCCTGCACCAAAACCAACACAACAACCAACAGTTCAAAACCCTGCACCAAAACCAACAGTTCAAAACCCTGCACCAAAACCAACAGTTCAAAACACTGCACCAAAACCAACAGTTCAAAACACTGCACCACAACAACAACCAGCACAACAACCACCTCCACAACCAGCACCACAACCAACAGTTCAAAACACTGCACAGCAACAACCACAAACAGAGCAAGGACATAAAAGAAGTAGAGAACAAGGAAACCAAGATTTCTTAAAAATGCTTAAGGAAAATTATGGTTACCCAGATACTCTTGACTTTAGTAACAGATATAAAGAAGCTATTAGAAAGTTCAAGGAAGGAAATATTGACCCGAACCTATTTAGCTTTATGGTTCAGCACCAAATGGGATATAATTTCAAACCTGGAAAATACAAGCTCGCTAAGGAATATGATTTAATAGCATATCATCCAAATGACATGACTGAATTTACTCCGAGATATTTGGTGTCAGAGATAAATGACAATTCAACTATCTTCATGAAACGCGTAAAAAATAAAGACGGAACGAAAGAAGAAAGGGTTATGAATGCGGATGACTTAAATAGGGAACTTGTTAAAAACGGTCTCGGAATATATGAAATGCCAGCAGATGAGGTACAAGAAACTCCACAGGAAGAAGTTCAGATACAACCAGACATGGAAGAAATAGTTCAGCAACAACAGCTAGAAGAGCCTGAAGGAAACGAACAAGTCCCTCCTTTGGAAACTAACTTCACAGAACCAGATGAAGATTTGGAACAGCCGAAAAATCTTGACCCTCAACAAGAGTATGAGGTGAATATGGAATCTTTCCAAGAGTTTAAGAAAAATTCGGCTGACAGAGTAGAAGAATATCGAAAAATGTTTGCCGACATACAAAAAGACTCCAACACCAGATGAAAATATTCAGCATAGAATGGAAGTACTGAAAGAAAATGTACACAAATACAATAACCCTTTTTACTTACGACCATATAACGTTCAATCTTTGGCTGAACTCGGTGAAAATAAAAGGTTAAATTTCAACAAACATATAGAAATAAACATTGTTTAAAGTTCATTCAGAACCTAACCAATATGGAAACAAACCTACTTTTGTTTCTGCAGACTATGGAACTACAATGAGATGGGGTCATAAAGCAAATCCGGATAGGTGGTTCATAAACTTACAACCACAATTCCAAGAAGTTGTAGACGCAATGGAAGTGAATGGTGAACCAGATTTAGCTGGTATTTTCAGCGCGGCTTTAATGCCATTGAAAGATATGAAAGATGCAGATATTTTGAACCAGTATGAAATGAACATGGCTGATGGAAATATAACACCTGACGTTCTAAAACATTTATCTCAAAGAACTACACAGAACCATAGAGATGGTATATTTGGTGAAGAGTTTAGAAAGAGAGTTAGGGAGAGAGAAGGAAGAGAACCTATTGTACATGACCTTGCAAACGAAAGTTTACAAAATGTCATAAAAACTTACTTTGCAGACAATGAAATGAGAAGGGATGAATATTTAAGAAAACTCAAATGGACAGTACCAAATGAAATGTTAGTATTGAAAAACATGTTCCTTGACAAAATAAAACCAACTACAGAAATAAATGACCCAAGCCTGAAACGTTGGGTAAAAGCTTTCCCATTCACAAAAGATATTGTTGGTTACATGGAAAGAAAACCAGAATGGCTACAAAAACATATATTTGGAAACGAGCTTATTCCATATGGACAAGCTCTGTTTGAAGAGCTTGAACCGGAAACTCAGGAAAGAGTCATGCAAACAATAAGCGAAGACTCAAATACAAACTATGACAAACTCTTTCTAGGATATAGGATACCTGAGATGGGCGACCAGAGCCCAAAGGCAAAAAGGACATGGGAAATTTACAACATACTAGGTGAACATGAGGCAAAGATGCAACAACTTGAAGCAGAGGGCATGTTACCAAAAGCGACACCAAAGAAGAAGAGAAGAGTAGAACAAAGTGAAAGTAGTGAAGAACAAAGTGAAAGTAGTGGCAATGAAGGAAAAAGAAGAGTTAAAAACTCAGTCAGGAAGAAAGTAAAGCTTGGTCCACGTGGGTTCTATTATGACACATAAATCCAACTATTCTATATTTTTACCCATATGAAATGTACGCCGCTCAGAATATAACGCCAACAGTTTTGGATGCCATGAACGGAAATGTTTCCGAATGGTATAACGAATGCGACAATGCCATTAGAAGGTCAGAAATAGTTCCTGGAACTTACGAATATACAACTGCTGTTTCTTATGGAAACGTAGGTGAGTTTGGAGAAGGTTCTTCAACAACAGTAGATATTGCTTGCGACAGGTTTCATATAATTTCTATTGACAACTCATTCTTATACGTGGAACAAGACATTGAAATAAAACCTTCTACCAAGTTGTCTGACAAGAAAGGTTGCAATGGAATTTTCTATGTCGGATACCAATATGCTCCAGAAGTTTTCATGGGATATAAGATATATTCTAACTCTGACTTAGTTCAAACAGTAACATGGGCAAACTATGAATGGTTCGCTTTGAGAAACTCAGTACAACCACAAGCTAGAGAACAAACAGACCAGTATGCAACTATTGAGAAAATAAGAAAACTTGACCCTAACGTTCCAGGAGTTTATGTTGACCTTTCTGGACAAACTGCAGCAGCAGTAACCAAAGTAAAACTGAAACTTAGAGTTCCTTTGTCATCTTTCCTCATCTTCAGGTTTTTAAGATACTTGCCAAACTGGGCAGGAAAAATTTCTATTGAACTTACTCCAAGCAAAAATAACTTAGTCATTGCACCAACACAAGACCCATTCACTCTTACAGACGTAAAGGGAGCAAATCAAACGTCATTCGCCGAATTTTGCAAAGACAAAGTTGACTTAGACTTTGGTTTCTCAAACCTCAACACTGAAGTAAAGTATTATTTCAATGCTGCTGGAACTGCTTGGGACCCAGTTAGGTTTACATGCGAACAGTTTGAATGCAAGAGAATAGAAAGCAGACTTGCAGTCTATATGTTGGACCCAGATATTTCAAATGCTTTAGCTGCCAAATATATTGCAGTTCCACTTATGTTCCCTATACACCAAATATCTGTCAAAGACTTTGCAGGTGAAGTTGGAAACCAAAATCCAGGAACCGCAGGTGCAAGAACAGATATTGCTTTAACAACTGCAATGAAACACGCAGATACTATGTTTGTACTGTTCAGACGAACTATAAATGACTATTCTTGTTTCTACAACCCCGGTATTAAATATCATATAAACATAGATGGCAAATATTATCCAAGAGAAGAATATTCTACAGTTGAGGATATGAGGTCATACAACTTGACATTAGATGCTATGAACTTTAACAACAACTTCACAACAACCATTAACCCTGAAATGCAAAGTTCTATTATGCCATATGTGAAAGTATGGACCCATACAGGAAGTCAAAAAACTCAATATACAAATGGAGACCGTTCAAACTTTTGGCTTGGCATTCCATTTGCTGACTCAGAAGACTTTATGGGTGGTATTTCAACTGTTGGTACTGTACAAATACAATATACTGGTGACAGAGACGGTCCATATGAACTGAGAGCAAAGAAGTTTACAAAACCAATAGCACTTTTCACGGAAGATGCTCTTTTGAAGATTCGTTCGATGAAACCTGCTGGGGCTCCTCAGATTGGCATAACGACAGCTTCCATCGAGCAGATTTTGGCAGCAGGTCAGTAAGTTGTTCTTGAACTGACTTCTCTCCGTCAAATATTGACAGTACGCCAGTTTTGACATAAAATTGTATTATAAACTTTCCTTTAGAAATATCTGTAAGTTTTGTTGTTATATTTTTGTCTGCTTCAAGAACTTTCACCATTTCAGTTATACCAACTTTCTTTGCTTTATGAAAATATTTTGGTTCAGCAAAGACTGCTATTCTATAACATTTACCATTGTTTGTATAAAGAACTATTCTGTCAATGTATTTGTATTGTTTGTGTGTGTAAACTTTGTTCTGCTTCAATTCGAAGAGATATCCGAATACGTCCATATTTTTATTCTAAGTAAAATGTCATTTCCGAAAAATAGAAGCGTAAGTGTTTCAAAAGGTTTAATGGCGGTGGCAGATGTGAAGTTAAATTCACCAACTCAAACAAACAGTCAAAGTGTTATTGTCAATGTCAAAGAAAGAGATGTTGAAGTGGGGAAACCATACGAAGACGAAGATGGTATAACAATTGTTCCTGTAAAAGAACAACCAACATACCCTGAAGTTAGCAGAGACTTAAGTTCTGTTGCAGATATTCGAAACGACTACCAACAACTGAAAAACAAACTTCAAACTCAGGAGAAGATTTGTCAAGCTTTAAGTATAATGTTAAACTTGGTCGAACACAACCCTGTAAAAGTGAACTCATATGTCATTGCACCTCATGAAGTTTTGAAAGAACTATTGAAACTTTTGACAGAGGCAGACGATATAAACATCAAAGAAATAGAACCCGACGTTAGTTGCTGTGGTGTTTCATATAATGTCATTGACAAGATATACGTTATGAAAGGAGGTGAAACGTTGAACTTAAAATATAGTTTCCCAGACGTTATAAAAATATTTGACGACCACAACATTTCATTAAAATTTATTTGCTAAGTAAAATGGCAGAAGACACAATGGTTTATACTATTACGACTAAAAACCCTGAGTCATATAATTCTATAACAACAAACTTACAAAGTCCTCAAGGACGATATTGTAAACTAACCTTAAACACAATGACGACTAAAGCTTGTTTTGCTCTTTTGACACCAGAAGATTTTATTGTTGTGAATGGTAAAAAATACTCCTTTGAAGATACTTACTCAGATATACCACCAACAGGTTTTGTTGACTTATTTAATACTTTAAGTACGGGTGTAACATGTGCTGCAACTAGAGCAGGTTTCATTATGTTTGGATGTCCGACTGAGTTTACTCTAAACGATATGAGCTATAATACAAAACTTATATCTGGTTTTTACTACCAACAGTTTCCTATAACAGGAAAAGGTGTCATACAAGGAATGTCTGTTCCATTGACTTTAAGTACACCTATTTTATATATTGTTTCAAACTTAGGTTCAAAGTGTTATTCGAATGTCGACAGAAACTACTATGACCAAAAGATACTTATGCGTATAAACAACACTTTCTCTGCTGGTTTGCCTATTGTTCATTCGAATGCAGAATTTTCAACCTTAGTGAACTCAAACACTTTGGCAAGTATAACGTTGACATTAGTTGACGCAAACTTTGTTCCTGTAAAACTTTTATGTCCTATGTATTTGTCAATGACGGCAGAAAGTTTCGAATTGGAAGATGCAACTGGTGAAAGTATTGTATTACAAGAACAACTTCAACAACAAATAGCTCAAGAACAACAAATGCAACAAATAGCTCAAGAATAAAAAAAATATTTTTTTTATTTTTATAAAAATGTACAGAATAGATGTTTCAGATTTTTATGACTTCCAAGCATTCAGAAATATGTGTCCATTTCGAGACTATAACAAAGCAGTCGAGAATTTGAAACGTTTAGTCATTTATGTCGACTCTGCCCCAGAATGTTATGTTATGAAAGAATGGGATGTAGTCTTTAACAAACCAAGAGCAACAATAGTTTCAGAACAAGAATGTAAACAGAAACTTAAGAAAATAAAAGTTGTACAAGTTGGCATGAAGATGTTAGATGCTTGGGATATCTTATTGTCAAAGTTAGAAGATTTTTCAGTTCGTGGTATAAAGTTCTATACACCTTCTCCAAACTTCTATTCTATCTTCACTGGATATAAATACGAACAAGTAGAATGGAAAGAAAATATTATAGAAGCTTGGTTAGACCATGTCAAAGAAATTATATGCAATGGAAACGAAAAGGTTTATGAGTATATCTTATGTTGGTTTGCAAACATCTTACAACATCCAAGTGCTAAAATGAAACTGCTCTCATTATAATTGGAAAACAAGGAACAGGTAAGAACACATTCTTTACAGATATTTTGTGCAAACTGTTAGAGGGCTATTCGAACCCTAATATGACAAACTTAGAAAACATCTGCGGTAAATTTAACTCTTCAATAGAGAATATGAAACTTATAGTATGTAACGAACTTCAAAGTATAGATACAACAAAAGTTTTAAACTCAGATGCTTTGAAGAGTCTTATAACAGACAAAGTTGGAGTTGTTGAAAGAAAATATAAAGACCAAAGAGTTTGTGAAAATGTTGCAAATTTCATTATGGTTTCAAACAATGCTGTTCCGATGAAGTTAGAAAGTTCTGACAGAAGATATGTAGTTGTCAGAACGTCAGAAGCTCATATGCAAGATACAGAATATTTTGACGACTTAGCAGAAACTTTGACATCTGACTTTTACAACCACTTGTTCTCATATTTCATGACATTAGATATTTCTAAGTTCAATCCAAGACAAATTCCACATACCGAAGAGAGACAAACATTGTTAGAAGCAAACAAGAGTGTATATGAACTGTTCATAGATGAAACTGACTTTGTGTCATTAGATGAAAGGTCATTGTACGATTCGTATAAACAATATTGTCAAGAATATGGTTATATGACAGCGTCTAAACGAACATTCTTGGCAAATGTCAAAAGTCTTTTAGATGTTCAGAATGGTGTATATACAAAGAAAAATTTTTCTGAGTAAATTTTAAAAAAAATATTTTTTTTATCCGATAGAAAAAGATGGCAAAATTCATCTCAGTAAACAAGTACATGTCAGGACTTAAAGAAGAACTAGACCCATTCACATATTTGAATGTTTACTTCTACCATTTTGAAAAGTCTTCATTCAGCAAAGTTTGGAACATCGAACCAGTTAAGTTTGCTATTGTGACTAAAAATGGTGCGAAATTTGAAGACTTAGACATAGAAGGTTTGTTAGCAGTCAAAGAAAGTTTTGACAGAAGGTTCTCAAACCTTAAAGAAGGCAAAGCATACAAAACTTGTTATACCTTATGAACCAAAGAAAGCAGACGACTATGAATATTATGAGTCTAAAGTTGTAGAAGTTCAAGGTAAATTAGGTAAAAAGATTTTAGAGTCTAAGCCAGTGTTTGCTCCTAAAGAGGAAGAGAACATTGACATTGACCCAGAAATGTTCTAAAAATAAAATTTTATTTTTACATGTCAAATTTCTTTTTCTCTGGAACTGGTTCAGGTTCTTTCTTCTCTTCTTCTACTTTCTTTTCTTTCTTTTCTCTCTTCTTCTTTTCTGGTGGAGTTATGTCAAACTTCTCAGAACCATATTTTTGTAAAAGTTCTTTGTCCTTTAATAGCTCTTCTATTCTGTTTTCTATTTCATCTTCAAGAACAGTGCATGTGTCTTCTTTGCATTCTAAGAAGTTTTGTTGGACTTCATCTCTCCAAGAGGCGTCATCTCTGTCAACAAGTCTGTCATTGACAAATTTTAAGACTTCTCTGCTTAATGTTTTATGGTTCTTGTCATATTCCCAGAAACAGAACTTTAGAACAAATTCACCTTTCTTGTTTACACTATGTAAGATTTTATGGTCGACAGATGTTTTGCTGTCGAAAAGCTTGTCTCGAATATAGATGGCGAAATCGCTAGACATTTTCTAAAAGATAAAAATTTTAATTTTTCTAAAAATATGTTAGAAAAAAAGTTTGCTGACATTGACAAAAAATTTGAGAATGTTTTAAACAAGAACAAGAGGAAGTTGGAAAATGCTCAGATAAAACCCATACATGACAAGTTCTTATTTGCTCAGAATGGTATAACAGGTCTAATTGCACCACCTGGGTCGGGTAAGACTTTCACTTATCTTAAAATGGCTGCACAACAACAAGAACTAGATGAGAAGAACCCATTCTATGAGTTAGTTGTTATTTGTAGTACTTCTGGTCAATTTGACCAAACCGTCAATTCGTTCAAAGATATTATAAAGAAGTCTAAGTTAGTATGTATAAAAGACTCTGAGTTGTTAGATTGGATAAAGAAAGTACCAAAGAAGAGTTTTGAAGTACAATGCTATAAATGAGTATATAAATTCGAAGTTTAAAGACCCAAATGAGGAAATGCAGAGAATATTAGAGAAGAAACACTTCAGAAACAAACAGAAAGAGATAGAATACATTTCGAAGAAATTGCAATCTTACGATTGGGAAGACTTACCCTCATAGATGTCTTCTTATCTTAGATGATTTCGCCTCTCATCCTTTGTTAAAGAACAGAGAACAAGATATGTGTCGAATTCTAAGAAGCTCAGACACTTTAACATTTCAGTTGTCATTTGTGTACAGACAGCAAAGAGTTTAAGTAAGGATGTAAAGAGAATACTTACTGACATTGTACTTTTCCCCGGATTGTCCGAAGACGATTTCATGGAACTTATGAAAGAGTCCATGGCAGGTAAGTTTGACAGACATGAACTATGGGAGAAGTACAAAGTCATACAAGACCCTCATACTTCTTTCAGAATTCATATCTACGCAAACAAAGTTCAAATTGTAAAAAGTCAAGCGTAAAAATAAACGCTTTACATGTATTTTTCAGCAACTTCGTCAAATAATTTTATAGCTTTATCTATCTCATCTACTTCAAACGTTTCTTTACCTTTCGTGGGAGCACCATACATTTTCTCAAACTTTTCAAGTAGTTCTGTTTCTGCAGCTCTCATATCGTTAACAAACACAACCTTGACTCTATTGACTATACTGTCATATCTTTGAGTTATATTATATGTTCTTCCTATCTTATATCTTTTTGTATTGAAGTCCTTCGGTTTCTGAACGATGTAAAGTAAGCCTTCACTGCAACGTTCCGTATCGAATGAACCATATGTTATGAAGTTATATCCAACAACTGGGTCAATCCATAACAAAACTATTGGTATAAGACTTTTGTCAATGAGATATGCTGTAGTTCCATAGAATCTTACCGATATCATAAGCTCAGGATTTCTTGTCAAAATTTTCTGAGTTGAAGCAATTCCAACCCAATGCCATGTTTTCTTTCCAGATGGAGATATAATGTCTGACAAAGAATATTTGTTGTATTTCTTTGAGTATCTTACGTTTAAATCACCTATTCTAACCATTTTGGTGTCATTGTCTATCTTTCTAACTGTTTCAAACTCAGTGTTTGTCATATATGTATTTACATACAAAATAAAAAATATTTTTTTTAAAAAAACTAACTTTATTTTTTCTATCTTGTATCTTAAGGAAATTCATGAAATTTGGTCATTTTTTCACGATTTTAGGGATTTTTTTTACGAAGTGTTAAAGTTCTCTTCGTAAAAAAATAACAGTTATATAATGAAATTTGGTCATTTTTTCACGATTTCAGGGATTTTTTTTACGAAGTGTTAAAGTTCTCTTCGTCAAAAAATAACAGTTATATAATGAAATTTGGTCATTTTTTCACGATTTTCATGAGTTTTATGCAAGACCAAAAAAAGTCTAAATCGCAATTTTTTACGATTTTCATGTATAAAAGATATGATTTCAGGGATTTTTTTACGAAGTGTTAAAGTTCTCTTCGTAAAAAAATAACAGTTATATAATGAAATTTGGTCATTTTTTCACGATTTTAGGGTAGATGGTTTTTAGGTGTCACCAGGTCCCTCGGTCCCTCGGTCAACTAACATCTTTTTGAAAATGGTGACAACATGACATTTTGACAACAGTCCAGGAAATAAACTTCTTCGTATATGTTTTGTCATGATTTCATCGAAATGAGTGTATATGTTTTGTCAAGACTTCTTCATCGAAATGAGCGTAAATCAGACAAAAATATATTTTAGGTGAAGAGGTGCGATCTCACCTCTTTTCTCACCTGTTTTCTCACCTCTTGAATTTTCATGATTTCATCGTACATTTTTTGTCAAGACTTCTTCGTACATGTTTTGTCAAAACTTCTTCGTATATGTTTTGTCATGATTTCATCGAAATGAGCGTAAATGTTTTGTCATGATTTCATCGAAATGAGTGTAAATGAACCAAAAATATATTTTAGGTGAAGAGGTGAGATCTCACCTGTTTTCTCACCTGTTTTCTCACCTCTTGAATTTTCATGATTTCATCGTACATGTTTTGTCAAAACTTCTTCGTACATGTTTTGTCAAGACTTCTTCGTATATGTTTTGTCATGACTTCTTCATCGAAATGAGCGTAAATCAGACAAAAATATATTTTAGGTGAAGAGGTGAGATCTCACCTGTTTTCTCACCTCTTTTCTACCCTCTTTTCTAACATGGTCTAAAACACACAAAACTCATGAAATTTCATACAGAATTCAATAAAAATATATTTTATGTTAGAAGGTTAGATCTAACCTGTTTTCTCACCTGTTTTCTAACCTGTTTTCTAACATGGTCTAAAACACACAAAACTCATGAAATTTCATACGGAATTCAGCAAAAATATATTTTAGGTGAAGAGGTGAGATCTCACCTCTTTTCTCACCTCTTTTCTCACCTCTTTTTTTTATAAGCGTTTTACATGAATTGTACGATGTATATTTGAAATTCTAAACAGTTTTGTAGCTTCTATTTCTTCTGTCAGTACATCGAATGTTTTAACTATGCCGAAAGTCTCTTTATATTTCTTCTTGACGTCAGATAGAAGGAAATCTTCTGCAGTTGGATAGTTTTTGTTCAGAAATTCTAACATGTCCATTTTATCTTCTGCTGGCTTCTCTACTTCTTTCTTTAAGTCAGCATAGTCGTTTCGCATACGTTCTATCTCTTTGACGGAGTAGTTATATCTCCTCATTGCCGCTTTACATTTAGAACATTGTGGGTTCATTTTAGCATTGTACATTGAAACCTTACCTGCTAGAACAACTAAGGCGTCAATGGTTTTCTTTAACTCAAAAGTTGCTGGTTTTATTTGTTCATTCCATATTTTACCTCTTCTATCTTTATCTCTTATCTGCCATACACATTCAGCAACTAACGAAACAAAGTTGTCGTAGGTCTTAAACTCCCCAGATTTATATATGTCAGAGATGTTCTTATATACCATGTCGCAATCTTTGTCCATGACTTTGTGGTTGCAATGAAATCCAAGAAACTCATAGTTTACCTTACGAATGAACTTCTTTATTTCTACCGAGTCGGTTGCTTTGACTTCAATTTCGTCGAATTCAGGAATAGTGAGCTTTTGTTGTTGTATTTCAGGAAGTTTAGGTAGATGGTCGATGAGGTCCTGCATTTCGTAAAGATACTGTTCATTTGTTTCATCTTTTGCAGTGCAATCTAAATCTCCTTGGAGAAGTTCCTGCTTTATCTTCTGGATTTCTGTTTCGAAAGTATATGAAGAAGGAATGAAGCTTTTCATCTCTACTAACATTGATGTTGGATTCATAACTAAAGAGTTTGGTGAAGTTGTTGCTAACATGTTCTTACAATAAGAATAAAAAATATTTTTTTAAAAAACTAACTTTATTTTTTATGTTTTTTGTGAAAGTGTCAAAATTCATGAAATTTCAAGAGTTTTCTACGATGTTAGAAAAAATGTTAGAAAATGTTAGATCTAACATGCTAACAAATATATTTTTTGGTGGTACGTCGACATTGTTCTGAAAACAGTACAAATATTGTTCTGAAACAGTACAAATATTGTTTCTGAAACAGTACAATATTGTTCTGAAACAGTACAAATATTGTTCTGAAACAGTAC